GTCGTTAGATGGATCATGGCAAACGTTTACAATCCTCTAAAGATTTGGGATATGCTAAAACTATTCTCAACTTGTAAAGCTGTTAATACCAAATTGTAAGTTGAGGCGAAACCACAGCTATTAACTAGGACAATACACAGAAAAGTAGTTTACCAAACGTTGAACCCGGAACAGATTATTTAGATGAAAAGTAGCACAGCAAATGTTTTAAGAGATAAGCAAATCATATCAGCACTAAATTTCCCGTTCATAAGGCGTGTGTCACTAAGGGTGGGCGGAGTTGTCTACAGGAAGGGAAGGATTTGTGTTATGTAGATTGTTTATGTATAAACTTGGAAAGATGATGATAACGACTTGTTCCCAACAAACCGTACTAATTAACAGGCGAGATCAAGTTGTTACATATGCTATGTAATCTGCTACGTTTAACTCTTTTAATAAGTTACTTTGATATGTTATGGCAAAGGTTTTTCTGCAGAAGCTGGACATCAAAATGTTGGTGCATAAATAGTCTATTTTTGAATTCAGGCTAAACTGTACTGCTGAAAGGACGGTGTTCCATATTGGTGCTGCTTCGTAGTGCTGAACTTTTGTTAAAAATACTTCATGCAACACATATAGCATAAAACAGACGAAATCCAGCGTATATTTTAGTATCTATCTGCCAGCTGATATAATGAGATTTACTGTACAAAGAGTTAACAATAAAATTGCGAAGTAAGGTGTAATTTGGAGTCATGTTCTGGATACATAGCTTGGATATTGTATTACGATAATGTACAGATGTGACATTTGGAGCATTGTTTCCTTCATTTTGATCGTTTGCACCGAATTAACAGGGCGATTGATATCATGTGTTGGGTCGTGTTGACTAAGGTTGGTACTGGTCTCTACGTTTTCTGCGAGAAAATCAGGTACAATAGTTCAAGTATAGCATTATTGACGGGGCACAAACAAATTAATGCCACATATTTGGAAACTTCTCGAGCTTCAGTTGAACACTTAGGGCTACGATCCTTATTGTGGTAGACTGGAGTACGAATATCATCGATTGGTTAGATCAACGATGTGTTGTGATATGAAATCTGTTTTAAAATACACCTGTTTATAACAGAAACAAATACCAAAAACAGGGGAAATAGAGCAAGTAGTCATAATCATTTTGATATGCCTCGTATGATACAATGCACGTTTTGTCATGTTCTTTTGGTTTGTTTACCCGTAAACTATATTTCTACTTTCGTGGTTTGTCCTTTTGATATTACTAAATTGATGGGTATTTTTCTTGTTCAAATTGTTTATGGGGGAAGTATCAGTTTTTTCAAAAAAGAGATAGCTCACATTAATATATTAAAGTTTCATAGAATATTTTGCACATCAAATAGGTCAAACATATCGTTAGAATCACTGGGATTTCAGTGCACTGCTAGGTTTCATAGTGTTTTGGGGTCGTGTATCATTCTATCTAACCCATGAATTAAGTACCATATAAAGCCTGTTCTAAATGACGGAAAGTTTATACAGGAAGAATTTTTGTCATACATTAGATCTACATATATGTATTTGACTAACTTCGCATGGAATTGGAATGACATAGTTATATAGTGGTATTACTGATGTGCTGACGAATTATTTTATCAAATTTTCCTCCTTCATGCCATTCACAGTATGCGCACTTTACATGGTTTGGCAGTAGTTTTATGAGAGTTGTGTAGGAAAATGAAATAAGCTTATCTGGGAATGCCGACTTTATTAGTAAGCTCCAGGTATCCTTTCCGATGACCGATGAACTAAGTCACAATATTATCATCGTCGACATCTTTCTTGGTAATATTTCAAATTTCAAAACTTCACATAAAATCCTCAGAAGCTTCACTATTTGAATGTATATCCAACCGTTCAATCACAGGCCCCATTATGATACTAATTTGATAATTAAAGGTATTAGAAATTCCCGAAACGGTGTAGAACTAGGTGACACAAACGAACGTATTGCATTTATAATTCGAATTCGACCAGAAATCCCTTACAAAACAATTATTGTTTTATACATGCAGCACAGATAAATTCGTAAGTACACCTAACAAATTCGGTTGTTACGTCACCTTCCAGATGGCCTTGGTGACACTGTTAGTGAACGATAATCCCAAAACTTACTTAAGCTGAATTTTTTTACATGCTGCGCAACCAGAAGTTGTCAGACACTTCATACTTCTTGGCACTTTGTAAAAAAGAGCTCTTGAATAACCAAAGAAAATGATCTGTGCCGAGTGACTGGGGGTCTACTCAAGTTAAATAGCAATGATGTGACGAACCAGCCAACTTCAAAGTCATACCTTGCGGTCACCACCTAAGGTGGATTACTCCGTTGTCTTATCAAGGTACTATGGTTGCTTTGAAGGACGCTATTACATAATATATTAGTAAGAGTGGGTACAAGGAAGAGATCGCGCTCACCACCTCACGTGCGCGCGTCTAACTAGTGTGCGTTGATTGTCCCTGAACTTGACGAGAATCGATGGACTGTTCCAAACCTGCCGGACCTAGTGACACTTCACTGGCCCTGCAGGTTTTTTGTAGTTGCACGTTTCACTTTCATTTTCTTTTATTTCCTGACGGAGTGTCCACTTTATCTCCACTATTTCGGTTGCATAAGCCGGTAAAACTGGTGCATTTCAGTGGTATGATTACTAACCATCGGATACTGCCAAAGAGCAGAAACCATTCCGAAACAGGAAGAAGCGAAAGCAAATAAATCGCCCGGTTTATAAAAACTTGTCTTTTCGAACGGGAAGTTTAGTCCTAACGTGATTTGCATTTCTCAAGCTTTTGCTGTGTTCTTACGTAACAAAAGTGCCGTTTCTGGTCTGTGGTTTTGCCTCAGCTTACTATTAGGTTTTTTTCAGTTTTTCACGTAAAGGCTAGTTTAGTTTATCTCATCCGTTTTTATCCATTTTTGCCTGTTTTTAGTGTGCTTTTTAGTGTATTTTTAACGGTCTTAGGCTTTTTCTAGCATCTATAATACAGTTTACGCCAATATAGTCATGAAAAATTCATGCACTTGACCTGGATGCCGTTTTGCTGTTATATCTGGTATGCAGTGTGACAACTGCAAAGGTTGGTTTCATAAAGCGTGCACAGATCTCACAGCAACTGCGTACAACAGACTCAGGAAGTCGGATCCTAAGTGGGTATATGTTACATGCAACACGGATGCTGTAGTTATTTCGAGTAACATCATTATACTATTGACAGGTCTGTGGAATAAGTTGAGAGCAAACTTGGAAAACGACAGTCATAAAACGGGCAGACAAACAAGGGCGCGCAACGAAAACAAGGATAGGGAAACAACCGGAAATTCGGAAGCTGGCTCATATCACAACAATTTTCAAAGGAGGTGGACGCAGCGAACCTTCAATTTACCGACCGGTGGCTCTTCTCTCTGATATGGTATGGTATACAGGAATATTTACTGTCCCTAAATTTCTTCTCACTCCAACAGTATGGTTTCAGGAAGGGTTACTCTTGTATAACCAACCTACTGACTGCGGTGGACAGATGGACAAGAATCCTCGATTGCAAGGGGAAGGTTGATATCATTTACCTTGATTTCTCAAAAGCTTTTGATAGGGTTAACCACATATGTCTTATTAACAAGCTCAAACAATTGGGTGTCAAAACACCTTTAATTGACTGGCTCAGTTCATACCTCACAAATCGACATTTTAAGGTCAGGGTAAACTTCGATTTCTCGTGCGCTATGGAATGTCCTAGTGGGGTCCCCCAGGGCTCAGTACTAGGACCTCTCTTCTTCCTGATCTATATAAATGATCTTCCTCAACAGGTAACGTCAGACATACTGCTCTTTGCCGATGACGTGAAACTTTGGAGTGAGATACGCAACCAAGAGGACAGACAGGCACTTCAGGAGGATCTGACTCGACTTCAAAGTTGGGCAGATGATAACGGACTTACCTTTAACACTTCAAAGTGTAAAGTAGTCCATCTGTGACACGTCGCAGATTACAGTTACAACTTAGGAAACTCCTCTCTAGTAGTATCCCGAGTCGAAAAAGATTTAGGAGTTCTGGTGCCCTACGACTTAAAGTCTTACGCCAACTGTGACAGAAATGCCTTTCGAGCAAACCTTGCACTGGTAACATTGAAGCGCATTTTTGGTCAGTTTGACGGGAGAACTTTCCACATAATCTTCAACAGTTTTATTCGTCCCCATTTAGAGTACGGAAACAGTATTCCCTCCTACACTCCAAAAGGATAAGGACACTCTGGAGCTTATCCAACGGCGGGCCACGAAATCAGTTCGGGGACTCAAATTTAAACCATAAGACGAGCGCCTCCAATCACTTGATCTTTACCCATTAGAGTATAGGCGTCTTACATGTGACATTCTAATGGCTTACAGTATCCTTAACACTTCTGGACATCCTCTTAAACACCTACTTAAGCTTAGTCTCAAGACTAGCCTAAGGGGTAACACTCAGAAATTGTAGATACAACATGGCAGAACGGACTGTAGACACAACTTCTACTCCTTAAGAGTTGTCAAATGCTGGAACTCGCTGCCAGCTGAGCTAGTCCAAGCGCCTTCCCAGGAGTCCTTTAAGAGGCGGCTTGATCTATTCTTAAGGACAAAGGATAGTATCTTACTATGATTCACCAATTTCTTTTTTCTCTTTTATCGTTAACATACCTAGGTTCCTGCCTGGAGGTATTGATGATTCGCTGCTACTAGGCAAGGAAGCATGGTAAGCGAAGGCTTCTATTCCGTCCACAAACATTTGAACAATTTGAACAATTTTAGATTCACGGTTATGTATTTATTGAACTCACGTTTTGTTAGGTATATCTACCTGAAGCAAACATCAAATTAAGAGCAAACGAAATAATTATTGATAGAGCGAGATATCGTCGTAGTAGCTCATTATCATAGTAGACGGTTTATTTTTTCCTCATGTGATTGTCATTGGGCATTTCGGGCGGTAATTCTCAACGTGCGTTACTATTTGCAGTATTTCTGTAATGTGTAATTCCTTCTTTAATTAAAGCTTGTAGATATGTTTGCATAATGAGTTCACTCAACATAGATATATGTGACAATATGTTGTCTTTTCACTGGTTATTATAAAAAGTAGCGTTTAGCAATCGAATAATTTTTAGTGTTTCTCCGCTCAGTTTACGAACCTGTGGGTATATTTTAGATGTACGGTTATAATTTACTATCTCCACGTTTATCGTTGATTTAAAAATATCATTGACGATGATTTTCCTTTTTACCGTACGCTGACACCAACATTTTTTATCAGTGGGTAAATAATTTGGTTTTATTTGTTTTGGTTTAAAGCCTTTTGTCTAGTCGTGTTATAAAGAGATTCATCTTTACGTGTGTTCGTCCAGTTTTAATTGACGCCATCTGTAACCCTTGTTAAAGTTTTCCCTATCATATTATTTAATGTAGGATACTCACTTTCAGTTCCTGATAAATTCTGTATTCGCCACTCATGGTAGTTTTTTTGAAATTCTTTTTTTTCCGTTTCACCTGTGTATCTTAGTCATATAACGAGACAATTCATGTTACATGTTCGTCAAGTGTTAATCTATTGGTGCTGACTCAATTCCATTTAGACTATGTAGTATCACCAAGCTTGATACTTTAATTATGACTCAAAACCAAGTACGTGAATCTATCTGTTGATTTTTAATGAGTTCGTATGCTCAGTGCAAAGTTGTAATAGTTTTGTGGATGGATAATGAAAACCACTTGATAGTCTCTGGTTGCCATAGCTTTAAAATGGTTGTTACAGTGTGGATGGTCCTACGTTGTCATCAATCAGTTGTTGTAATGTCTGTGACCTTGGTCATTTATGTGTTGGTGAACACGTTGTTCATTGCCATAATTTATCGAATGTTTTATTTAGTAATAGTCGTGATTTCTTGATATAATTACATTCAATCAATTATTTATTTATTTATTTTAACACAGATATTAGTACAGGGAGGCACCAAATACATATGCGCCACACAGACCTCATTTTACATGTGTGAGGGATGTGATAATGCCCGGGTGCCCAAACCGAAGCAGGGGGTTTTCTTAGGGGGCCACACCCCGAGCCTTTGACCTAAAGGTCTGACCTACAAGGCAGTAGATCATCGTAAGGAGATGCAGTCCCATGGTAGCCGGTGACCAACGATTGGTTCATACGCCATTTGTTCCTTCAGGATACTGGAGCAGATGTGCACCATTAGGCTGGCTATTTTATTTTGTGGGATTTAAGTATCGTTTGTTGAGAATCGCTCGAGATTTTATAACAATGCGTTTACCGTTACTTTCATATTTTAAAGGTTTTATTATTTGTCACTTCTCCTCCATTCTACATTTCAGAATTCGAACGATGTCTTTGTTTTGAATACTGATTAATTTGAAGGGATTGCTCAAAATGTCGGCTTCTATTGATCAAATATTTCACACTGGCTTGCTAGATTTACCTTGTCATCGTTTACTTGAAGTACAGTGCCTAAAGTTGAGAAAACCTCTCGTCTGCCTAAGTCCAGTTGCGAAAATGCATATCGTTAATTATACTTTAAATATAGTAAAAAGTCTTTGTGATACTACTGCTCCCAGTTGTATTGGCGATATTATACAATGCATAGATTACTGTTTTCCGGAGAAACTTAAACCTTCTCCTCAATTTTTGGATGAGGTTCAATCTCAGGTTGAGAAAGGGAAAAGAAAAACATTGTATATTTCTGCTGATAAAGTCTTTTCCTGCTTCAAGGTAAATGTATTTTGGCCAACTTTACTTGTAATTCCAGTTGGTGTTTCCACGCATGGAATCGAATGTATCCTTGTTCCTGACACATCTGATGGAACATATTATGGGACAAATCGTTCAGGTAATATAGTATTTAAACCGACAATTTCTTAGTGGGTTGTAAATTACGAGTCGAAAATTCAGTCAGGATATATTGAGGCTACAGATGTTCATGTAAGTATAAAAAAGTGGTATATAGTTTGGCTCAATATAATAAGTGAATATAGTGTGGAGTCTCATGATTCTAAAATAACTAATAAATGTGGCAGACTAGAACTGTTTCTTCAATCATTATTATAGCTTGTCAAAAAGAGCATATTGTTTATGCTTATGTTAGTATTAACTTACTTTTAGGCTCATATATATATATATATATATATATATATATATATATATATATATATATATATATATGACACTAAATTGGCTATGTTAACTAGAATGTTTCTGTAAAAGCATTTATTTGTCGTGGATCATTTTGCATTAGTTACTCATTAGCATGTTCGACATTCGTTTCTCTCAGTACAAATTATTGCTTCAGGAGTGATCTGGGTTAATATCCATGTCTTTCCAGCATTCTGTGTCTAATCTCAGCGTCGCTAACTCGGTGGTCCTAAAATCTACGAGCAGTAGTTTGAATACACTTGCGGCCGAATAATAATCTACGAATATCCTTTTTTAAAGGCCATATTCCACATCCATAGGGTAAAACGGAGGAAACTGCTGTCTAGTGAACTCACCCTTTAGTTGGCAGACAGATGTCTATGCTACAAGTGATGTAAGTTGGCAAACGCGAACTGGGCTTTCTGGATTTGTGCCAAGATTTTGCCAGTCAATAAGACTGATGAGACTTCCAATATGAGTGAAGTAGTCGACACAAGGCTGCTTCATTCTTTATTATTAGTTCGAGTGCTAACCCAGTCCTGAGGCAACATTTTGTGTGAAGAGTGAGAGAAACCCATCTCAAACAACCTTGTATAGTTTTTTTAAATGGCCAGAAGACTTCATCGTTTTCAGCATCTTGATCAACAAAAAAATCTGGTAAAAGATCAATTTCTGACAAGTCAGTGGGTGAGAGTGTTATCTCTAAAGGAGTGTTTGTGGCAAAGTTGGTTAAAATTTTGTGTTCATTAATGACTAGCTTCTTGAGAGAATTCTCGGAGTTCTAGTGAGAAGCCGTGACCAGTGGAGCTAATCCGTGTCGGTTTAAGACAGGTATCTACGTCAGTACAGTGGAAGATAGTCACGCAATTTTCTGTATGAGTTGAGGTTAGACATTAACACTGTTGGATGCCTGCTCATTGGTCTAGAGGTTAGGCGTTGGAGCGCGAAATCGAAGGCTCTGGGTTCGAATCTCGCGAGCGTGGTCGTGGATGCGCACTGCTGAGTCTCATAATGGCACGAAACTGCCGTCCGGCGCTCCCAAGTTTTCAATGGTGATCTAACATCAATCGGTTCGTGATCTCAAGTGAAAGCTCGTATTTCGGGGTCACTAAGTAGTGCCAAGGTACTAGGTAAGGATGGAAAACCCATTTATGGGGCAGTGGGTCCACATCGGCTGAGGTGGTTTAGACACGTGTTACATATGTTCAGTCACCTCCTACCTCGTCGTATAATGATTGCTGGTGTGAAAAAGATATGGACGCGGGAATTAAAATGTATCATTAGTCCATGAAGCGATTGACTGTTGAACCGAGCCATGTAAGTAGATGCAAACCATCTGGTTGGGGTCCACGTGATAATTGCGGCCAATGGTTACACATTGCATGACATGGCTTAAGTGCATTCATTGTCTATCGTCTTTTGGATCATAAGTTTCTTAGTTATCGTATAAGCTGTTTGATCCTCTTAAGTAATATATTCTAAGCTTAATCTTTTTTACTTTCTCCAGTACTGTTATGACTCTGTGGTGTGACAGCCTAAACCGATGTGCATGTCCAGGCTTCTACGTTGCTTATGACTGACTGATTGGCTGTTAATTAGTCATGGAGTTTCGTAGTATCTATCTAATTTTTTCGATATTGTATAGACTAGTTTGTATCTTTTCTGGCTAGTATTTTAGCATTACAATATGTCTTACTTCATTTGGCGTCTAGCATATCTTCAGTTTATTTGGAGCACCAAAACTATCAAAATCACCAGTTTGTTATTCCCTCCCGTTCCTACCTAGAAAGTCTGCAGACTATAAAGATTATGCAAAAGAAATTCAGTATTTATTGCGATTCAGTGTCCAGCACCTTGGAATCGTTGTACGCATTTTTGGTGACTCACTTATGGAAGAGTTGTCGCATGTCCGGATTGTTACAGAGTCACTTCTTACTGAATGTGAAGATACCCGTAATATTAACCAGACAGCTCGACGTTTACTAGCTGCTATTAAATCTGCTCAGCTTGTTTTTGATCGTGCTTCAGAAGTGCATAGTCACGTAACTGTGCTAAGTGAGTGTATCGACGATGCTTTTGAGGAACAAACTCGTCTCATCGGTTCATGTTTGATAGTAAGTCATTTCATTAGATTATGATCTGCTAACGAAACATCAATCGGCTCTTACTTTGCTCTTATTCATGCCGCTCGGTTGAGTTATCTCACCCAATAAATTAGTGATATATCATTCCGAAATACGGTGTTTCAGATAGTCCGTGGATCATTGCATATACTTGCTTTTTACATCCATATTCATCCCGGATTAATTTTATCTTAGCTAATATTTAGTTAGGAAATGTTTTATGATATTTACAAGATAGTGAAGTATAAATCTTAACGAAGGTCGTGGCATGAAACCTGACTTTACAGTCAATCCAGCCGAATTACTCAACATATGAAATTATCGTTGTGCTAGCTTGAGGACTTGGTTGCATGTTTTCACCAGCATCCTCAAAGATTAGATTGTTTGTGTCATTCATTCACAATAAGTAATTATTTGGTGTGTGAGACGATAAGTGCTCGTCACTGTTTATGGCGCTTTTGAAATTCTTAATGACGCTAGTTCATTTATATAAATTAGATGAAGACTGATAAAATCAGAACATAAATATCAGATTGAGTTACGTGACGTGACTGAATAAACTGAATGGGACTAAAATAACCTGAAAAAGCATGAAACTTCAAGTTATCAGGAGTATAATCAGTCAGTCGGTTATCTACAACACAAGACCCGACACATATATGTATTGGTCCAAGTTGCCGTACCTCATTAGTACAACAGGATGATCACCAAATTCATAGTAGTTATTTCAATGGTAGTAATATATAAAAAAGATTGCATATAAGGACATGATATAGAAAGAAAGAGTTAGTTCGTAGAAAGAATGGTATGAAGCAATTTTGACCTCACGGTTTAAGGGCCGACAAAGAGTGTATTGTGGTCGATTCTGAGCCATGTTACCCAGAGTCTCCAACGATTAGTTAAGATAGTCTTGCGGACCTCAACCAAGTAGTCTGCATCTACCAACATGGCTCAGACCGAAAGTTAGTGACTTTATGGACTGATGGCATTTTTTGGTTTGGCCGCCTCTTTCTTCTTTCCGTATCCTCTACTCTTACTGACCACGTTTCGCAGTCGTAAAGTAGAACAGAACGAACTGCTGCACAGTATGCTCGTCTCTTAATTGATAGACGAACATATCGCTTTCGTCATAGGTGACATAAGTTGGCGAAAGCCAAACGAGCTTTTTGAATCCGTGTAGAGATTTCGTCAGACACCAACCAATTATGACTGATCAGAGTTCTAAAATAAGTGGAAATGTCGGTGCAATTGACTACTTTACTCCCTATCCCTAGTTTAGGTGTTGACACAGGCCAGTCCTGAAGCAACAACTTGCATTTAGAGGGGCAGAAACGCATCCCAAACATCCTAGCATTGTTGCTCAGTGCTACTAAAAGACGCCATTTTATCGGAATCTTCACCAAACAGGACCACGTCATCTGCATATTCTAAGTCAATAAGTGAACCTCCTGGTAGGAGATCAATTCCTGAAAATTCAGACGACCAAAACACTACTTCCAGCAGTAGGTCTATGACCAAATTAAACGAAAATGGAGATAGTAGATAGTCTTGTCGGCCAACACTTGAGGTTGCGAACTCAGATGACAGTTCGCCATGAGCTCTGACCCGACTGGCAGTGTTTAAGTAAAGAGCCCTCACAAGGTTTATGTACTTGTTTATGTACTCCTTTCAATGACAGACAGTACTTCAGAAGCTTTGGTCTACGGAGGCGAATGATGCTTTTAAGTCAAGAAAAAACATTATTGTCGGACACCGATAAGCATGTCTGTGTTCTAGAACCTGACGAATCGTGAATATGTGGTCGATGCATCCACGACTAGGTCTGAAGCCAGCCTTATTTTCTCGTGTTTGCAGTTCATGAGTCTTTGTTAAGCGTCCGGTAATAATTGAGGCTAGTGTTTTAAATACTATATTAGTCACACTAATCCCTCTATGATTATCACAGGGTGATTTTGACCCCTTAGGACGATCAGTGATAGCAATTTGTCAGATGGGATTACGTCCAGTCCCCAGACTTTAGCTAAAATATTAGTCAACGTAATCGCCAAAACTGGACCATCACTCTTAAAGACATCTGAAGTTATTCCATCTGAACCGGCTGCCCTTCCTCGTTTCAGACTAGCCATAGCTTTTTGAACTTCAATTAGAGTCGGGGGACCTACTTCAATGTTCAATTCAGGCTGTTTTGAAATGGTGGTTAGCTGTAGGGTTATTATTATTATTATTATTATTATTATTATTATTATTATTATTATTTAAACACATAAACATTGGTACAAGGAGGAACCAAATACATATGCGCTACACAATAACAATGAAACTGGTAGCAGTTATCATTGATTTGTGTGAGTGCTGTGATACTGCCCGGGTGCCCAAACCAAAGCAGGTGACTTCCTTGAAGAGCCACATCCAAAACCTTCGACCTAAAAATCTAATCCACAAGGCGGTGGAGCAACGTAAGGAGATGTAATCCCATGGTAGCCGGTGACCAACAATAGGTTCATACGCCATTTGTTTCCTCAGCATCCTGAAGCCCAACTGCCTTAGGTAGATCCTCCATGTTCACCAACCCGGTTAAATCTCTGGACATCCGCTTTTTTGTCCTCTCGATTTCGTAAACAACACCCCCGCCGCAAGAAGGCAGTAAGTAGGACTTCCCAGTCAGTGTTTGTAGGCACGTGGCCATGTGAGAGGATTTGGAGAGGGGGAGCGGACTCTCCCCACTCTCAGCCGTACCTGTGTATTTGGGGGCCTATAGAGTAGCTCAAGGTCAGCTGAACTGCTCCTCAAAGTGTCCCGCCCATCCTTCTAAACATTTAGATAGAGAGCAGATAAGAGTGCTATCTTTTTCCGAGATTGTCTCACATTTGATTTCTTATTTCCGGTTTCTCTTACTAGTCTGAAAAGCTATCTTATGTTACCTACAGCCTCTGCCTTTTCTGTCCATTTCGCATTTGTCGCCCACCACTGCTCACGGTCGTTCCGGAGACGTTTGGTTGGCCTAGATTTGATTTGCTTTCGTCCTTCATCGTGTTTGGAGCCTGACGGGATAAGTTTACGAAAGTCTATCAGTGTAGTAGATGTCTCAGAACTCCACTGGTTTTTCGTAACTCATTGGTTCAAATCACTAATAGATGTCGCTGTTGTTTCCACAGCTGTTCGTATATCTTTCCAAGCAACATCTGGGTCAGCCTCGTTTTCGAAATCGCCTAAATGTGGCTTCAGTTGTTTCTGGATTTACCTTGGGCTTTATCATCACCAAGTTCAACGCCAATGGGTCTTCCTAATGTGACTTTTCTGCTCCCAATGAGGCGCCAGCAAATTTGTGCTCGTATTATGACATGATCAGAGTCTAAACATGTATTCCAGAACGAGAGGTGGTCTTCTATCGAGCCTCCCCAACAATGACTGATGGCAATTTGGTCTAATTGAGTCGATCGTGCAGGGGGTCGCTATGTTAGTACTTGTTGGAAATAAACGATGTTTTGAGCACAGTTGCAGAAGACAGTCACCATTATCTTTTCGCTGAGCTGGAATACCAAAATACCCGCATAAATGTCTTCCTGTTTGCTTTAAGCTACCTTACTTACTGCTGCCCATCAGCATTCTTCACCGAACTCCACCCTGGGTAATCCTATCCCATTGCTACTCATCCTTTTAATGCCGGCTTCCGATTCTCGGTGCATCGTGTTCTTTGGTCTTTGTCTTTTCCGTTTCACTTCAGGATCCCAAGTTAGCGCTTGCTTCGTGATGCGGTTTGATGATTTCCGTAATGTGTGTCCTATACACTTCCAACGTCTTCCCGTAATTTCTTCTTCAATTGGATGCTGGTTTTTCCTCTCCCACCTACCCACCTACTTGGGAATGAAATTCACCTGCTACGAGTGTTATGTCTGAGTGTTTAGCTTTTTAAAGTTCAGAAAGCTTTCTGTAAAATTCATCTTTTACTTCATCTGGGTTGCGGCTAGTGGGTACATAGACAGAAGTAACGAAAAGGCGACTATGCGTGTCCCTATTTTTCTGAGTTCTTACGGAGCCGTTTAGCCGAATAACACATAGGCGACTGTTGACAGGGATTAATTCTAGAAATACTCGTTCCATTTACTGCTATGCCCATACATGCTAGTCCACGGGAACGCCGTCGGGTCGCCAGATAGACAGAGAGTGTATCTCGTCGGCTCCCCGTTTTGTTTAGGTGAGATCAAGTGAATGACCACACTAGGACCCTGTATGCGTGTTTTGGAGACACAGTATATATCAATGGTACGAGATTTTAGGATGTTAGCCAAGGAGATCTGCTAGCTGACTCGACATAGGATACATACTTTGAAGGCTCCAATGTATAATTTGGAGCGATGTTTCAGTATACCTGAGACGGTATTTTGGGCACTAGAATCACTGACCATGACAACACTTGAGGAGCCAGTTTAGAGTCGAAAGTAGAGGTAAGAGTAATTATAGGAATTGAAGAGGGAGACGTGATTATAAATAATATGGTCTTGAGTGCTGTTAAAGGTATGAGGGCGGCTATCACTGTGCGGTTGCTCACACCGTTGAAGGGTTCTCCTAGTGGTAACTGAGATGGAAATTGGATTAGAGTTGGCCTTAGTGACCTGAGAGCATGATCTTGGTACCCAAGGGACAACTGCTTGAGGTCGATCATACACACCTTTTTGTGGGTAATTTTTGTGCTTTCCCCGTACTTGTTGAAACCTTACTGACGACGACAAACATTCTTGTGATAAGGCGAGGTGTACATTTTTAGGGTCGACCTTTTCTAATCCAGTCGTTCCTTGTTGGAAGGCACCATCGCTGCTATGCTGATTGTCTGAAGGAAACACTTTACCGCCATCACACCTCTGTACAGTCAGCAGTACAACTTCGCCCTCGGGTTTGCTGCTTTTAGTCTTACTGCTCTCCAACTGACCTGTCTGGCATGGTAGGACCTTGAAGAATGATTGTTCCAGTCAGTATATCTCGATTGGTTCATCACGATAGGTAAGCCCGACCAACACGTCAAGGTAACAACAAAGGTCGGGCAGAAATATGATACCGAATAAAATTATGTTAATGATCATACGGTATAAAAAGTGAAGATATTTAATAAATTTAACAAACTTTTGAATACAAGGTTTAGGGTTTAATATATGAATTACCATATCCCTTACTGTATTCAAAGTTTTCAGGCATGTATTCCTTAAAAGTGTAAAATTGTATTTTCTATTTATATTTGTATTTAACAACCTGTAGGTAAAAAGTCTGTTTGGCCTTTTCTACTTTAATGCCTATTTTAGGAAGCTGCAGAAGACGGAACATTGTACAACTTTGCTCACTATGCAGATACACTTTTTAGTAGCGATTGTCGTGAGTGGATAAGTATTTTAGCTCAAACACCTTGTATTATGCGGACAATGGCAAATGAATTTCAGAAGATCCTACAAGTCACTCTTAGCAATGTAAGTTTTCCATATCATTTGAATTGCTTCGAATTGTGTCTTGAACAAGCAGTAAATTGTTTTAAATTTCTGTGTAATTAGACTAGAATCATTTCGTTTACTCGTTTGCTTCAACACCAAATTTAGTTCAGAATTCAGCCTGTAATATTAGTAGTAATACGTGACATTTGTTTCATGCTATGAAGTACACTCTTATGTTGTAAAGCTGAAGAAATAGTTGACAGTTACTGCGAATAATGTAGATAGAAGACTGATAAGTGAACTTATTTTTACGGTGTGTAGATCTTCCTTGTTATAAGCTCCCTCATAATCATTTAACTACTGTTTAAAGCAGGTTAGCAGTATAGCCAAGGTTTGGTTACAAGTAGATAAAGATCCATCTTAGCAAGTGGTTTAGTCGTAAGTATGTCTTAAACTATCAATTTAATTCAAGGTGATATAACATTATTCGTATCTCAAATCCTTCCAAACAATCCAGCCAGTCCCAGAAGTTTATCATCATTCTTGAGAGAAGCTGGAGTATGTCTTATAGGTTAGTGGAAGTTTTTATGAACCAGGCAAAGCATTATAGGACAGGTTGATCGACATTGTTTAGGCAATAAACCTTACGTCTGTAAAGGTAATCAATGTGTTCACTACTGACCTCAGATTGTTTCACTTTACCGAATCGAGTTCTTGTTGTTAGCGTCTCGTTTATGTTTAGACAGCTTTCAGCATTAACCAGATGCAGTTGCTGTTTACAACTCGTTACTACGCTCTTGCTACCAGATTTCTTGGTCGTTGCATCAGTTTTGTGAAATCGAAACCAACAAGACCTGATATGGATGCCATAAATCCCTCAGATAAGTGCATATGAAACGAAACTTCATAATCGACATGTAAAGGGAGAATTTGTAGTACTTCGTTAGAATCTTAAGTGCGGGTCAGACATACATCATATGTCGGTATCGAGACTTTCTAGACATATCCAAACCTGTTTTGTCTAATTTTTATCAAGTTGAAAATGCCGAATGCCGAAACTTTGAATGTTTCACGAGGTTACATTGCGTAACAGCATTCAGGAAATTTACTATCCACCCACCCCTACAACTGTAGTGGACAACACACCAAAGGGGACAATTTAATATATCTGACAGCAAATTACAGAATTAGTTAGTAAAATCTAACAACCATATATTAAATGCCCAATTTGCAAAATGTTCATCAATTGTCTCAAAAAGACTCAGACTTCCTTTGTTCTTTCATTTTCACACAAATTACATTGTGTTTTCATTTTTTACTGTTCGGTCTTCTTGTCTCTCTGCTGCCAGACATTCTGTTCACGACAAACATCATATACTACTTATGTCCACATAAGTAGCACACACCACACAACCATTTAGACAGCAGAGAACTCTCAGCAAAGACAATCCATTGAGTTAAAAATTGAAATTAGTGTAGGAAAGTGTGTGTACGATATAGGAATGACATTAAGTTAATGGTCAAAGTGAAATAAAATAAAACTTATTGTGATACTGTTTTTATTAATCGTATGTATCAGCGTCTAAGTTTTGTTCATTAATATTCATTACTAAATGTGTATGGGCCGGAATAGTGCCCTGACACATGAATAGAAACAGATGACTTTTAGGAGACTACTCCTCGAACCTCCGGCTTATAGTTCTAATCCACAAGACTGTGAAGCAACGCTTTCGTGGTTTTACATTTACAAATTGAGTTATTTACTTAAGGCTGTTACCTCTCGTGGAAGAGCATAGGCCGCGATTCTCCATTCAACTCTGTCATAGGTAATCCTTTCAGGTTGCTATTCATTGTTCTCATATCTGCTTCCAAGTCCCGACGTAGTGTGTTCTTTAGCCTTCCTCTTTTCTGTTTCACTTCAGGATTCCAAGTTAGTGCTTGCTTCGTGATGCAGTTTGGTGATTTCCTTAGTGTTTGTTCCATCCACCGCCAACGTCTTTTCCTAAGTTCCTCTTAGATAGAAGTTGGTCTATTCTCTCTCACAGTAGATTATTGCTGATAGTATCCGGACAACGGACATTGAGTATCTTGCATAAACAGCTGTTTATAAATATTTGTGCCGTTTTGATGATGGTTGTGGTAGTTCTCCAAGTTTCACCTCCATACAGTAGAACTGTCTCGACGTTCATATTGAAGATTCTGATTTTGATGTTGGTTGACAGTTGTTTCGAGTTCCATATGTTCCTCAACTGTAGGAATGTTGTCCTTGCTTTGCCAATCCTTTCCTTTACATCTGCATCAGATCCTCCTTATTCATCGATGATGCTGCTCAATTATGTGTGAATTTCCACCTTTTCCAGAGCTTATCCATCAAGTGTGATTGGGTTAATGTTTTTTGATGTGTACTATCTCCTTATACACACTCTTTCTTCTATATATTACCACCACTGAATTAACTACTTCTATGAATCCGGTGTTCATCTTGTTGTGCTAATGCGGTATGGCAACTTGGACCGATGCATATACGTGCCTGGTCCTACGTTGCATCTGACTGACTGACTGATGTGTATGTTGAGGCCTACTGATGCACTGGTTGTTTTGACTTTCATTTGTTGGTGTGTATAGGATAGGAGGGCCAGATTATCTGAGAAGGTCCAAATCGTCTAGTTGCATTCAAACAGTTCATTTTATTCCGTATTTCCCCTCAGATTTGGAGGTCTTTATAATCCAGTCGACCACTAGATGAGAGATTGGGCGAGAATAAGCAGCCTTGTCTGACACCGGTTTTCACTTGGAATGCATCTATCAGCTGTTCTGCGTGCACAACTTTGCACCGTAGTCCGTCGTATGAATTCCATATGATGTTGACGATCTTCTCAGGTATACCATAGTGTCGAAGTTGGTTCCATAAGGTTCTCCTATCTAAATTGTCAAGCGCCTTCTCGTAGTCAAGGTAGTTGATTTGTCATGAAGAATTCCATTGAATTGATTGCTCAACAATGATCCACAGTGTCGCAATTTGGTCTATGCACAACCAATCCTTACTTAATCCAGCATGTTGATCTCGAAGTTGGACGTCTACTGAATCCTTCGTTCCAATCAACAACACTTTTTTGAAAACGTTTCGTGGTACTGATAGTAGTTAAATGGCTCTTTAGTTCTCACACTTGCTGAGATCCCCTTTCTTTGGTATCTTGATAAGGTATTCCTCTTTCCGGTCTGTTGACACTTGTTCTTCCTCTCGAATTTTCCTGAACAGAACGTGGAGCATGTTTGCAGTTATTTCTATGTCTGACTTCAGTGCTTCAGTTGGTATGCTGTCTACTACTGCCTTCCCACCCTTCATTTGTCTGGTGGCCATCATGATTTCTTCGATCGTTGGTGGAGTGACATCTGTAAGAAAGTCTGTGTGTGCTGCTTCGAAGTCCGGTGGATTCAATGGAGCTGGTCTATTCAAGAGTTTCTCAAAGTGTTTTACCCATCTATTCCTCTGTTCCTGAATATCATTGACTGTCTTGCCGTCTTTGTTCTTGACTGGTCTCTCTGGTTTACCATATCTCCTTGCTAGTTTGTTTCTTGCGTCATATAGTTGTTTCATATTTCCTTCTCTTGCAGCTTTTTCCGCTGTCATTACTAGCTCTTCCACGTATTTTCGCTTGTCGACTCTAACGCTCCTCTTCTTTTCCTTGTTTGTTTCTGTGTATTCAGTCTATGCCTTGACTTTCTCTGTTCTAGTACGGTTGTTTTTAATTTCTGTCTTTTTGTTCTTCCTTTCTTTAAACTTGTCCAGGGTTTTCAACAGAGATCCCTTACTTATGGTGATGCTTCTTGCGGCCCAGAACCTCCTGACACGTTGAAGTTAGTGCTTCTTTGATCCCTTTCTAATTATCCTCCATAGCAGTTTCTTCTTTCAGTAAGTCCCTTAAGGCTTGGAACCTATTGGTTAAGCTTGTCAGTATCTTGGAGGAAGTCTGTATTAAATCCTCCTAGTGCTTTTCTCCAATTACGCAGTGCTTCTTTAGCTTCAGTTTCATCTTGGCGACCATCAGGTGGTGATCTGTAGCTATGTCAGCTCCTCTCTTGGTTCTCACGTCTTCCGTTTTAGTGATGTAAATATGATCAATCTGGTTCTGTGTAGTGTGATCCGATGAAACGCATTTAGCTTTCTGTATGTATTTGTGGGGAAATATAGTGCTACTTATGACCATTTTGTTGAATGCATATAAATTAGAAAATCTCTCTCCATTCTCGTTCCTTTCTCCCAGTCGGTCTATGTCGTCTCAATGATATATTCATAACCAGTGTTGTCCATTCCGACATTGGCGTTTAGGTCTTCCATCAGAATGATTAGGCCCTTTCTTCTACACTTCTCTATGATTGATTGCAGCGTCTCGTAAAACTTGTCTTTATCATCTTCATTGCTATCATTGGTGGGTGTATAACATTGGATAACATTCATTGTGATTCCCTTGTGCCTTATTTTGAAGGATGCTTTGATGATGCTGGACCTATGAGATTCCGATTCTATAAGTGTTTTGTGTGCTTCTTTGGATTGCATCAGAGCAACTCTCTGCATGCGAAGAGTATCTTCTTTTTCATGACCAGAACAAAACAGCATCTTATTCCATGTTGCTGTGGTTGTTGGAAAGCCATCCAAATAATCTTAACTTTTACCATGAGGCATCATAATTCTCCTATATGAAGATCTTTCAACTCGGAGGGCAGAGTTTAGATCGTTTTTTTTTCTGGCTAGCGTTTTTTAGCGAGGTTGTTTTCTACGGAATGGGGTAGCTGACTCCATTCTCATCCCTCCTTCCTTACCCGGTATTTGAACCGGCAGTAACCCTAGAAGTGCTACAGGCGGAGTTCAAATTGAGTTAATATGTATTTAATTATTCGCACTTGGCTTCCTCAGAAATGTCTGAACATTCTTCTGTTAATAATAGTTTAGTTAAACATTTTATGGTAATATTTTTGAATATAATTTGTTATCATTAAGTTTGCTAAACTGGATAGCAGTGAATATATATCCGACTTATAATTCAGTTGTTCTGTACTTTCACTTATCTATTTCGCGATAAGATTTTAATACCTATTTATCACTATTAAATCCATTCATAAAATTATTGTAAACATAGAATAATAGCGCAGTTCCTTGAATCCTGTTTTTTCAGGCATCTAGTCGTCGTCAAGCTGAGATAAAATTACGTTTTTCTGATCCACATTCATGTCAATTATGTACCACAAGTTTTGGTTATGATCCAATTGGTCTGACATCTTCCGGACCATCTTCGGGTTCATGTTGTGTTCTAACCCATCACTCTGACAGTCCACAATCTTACTGGTCGAGTATGTTATCTGGACACACTAACTATAGTGGTACGAGTACAAGTGTTAGCAGTGCAAGTAGTTCAGTTGACCATGTTACTACTATGCCTGTACCTTTCAGTCCTATTTTTACAAGCCGCGGATTTAATCATTCTTCATCTTTCACATCATTTACAAATCCACGACAACCTAAGGCAACAGATCATTTTCTATATAATAATATGAAACATATATCTGGTCAAAGATCAGTTAGCAATTCACCATCATCTCTTCAACCATTTCACAAATCTATACTGGAATCTACAAATCAAGACATCAATCACGGTCAAACTACGGAAGTAATTGGTTTATCAACATCATCTTCATCATCTGCAATCAATGATGACAGCATAAAAACTAATCCTGATAATGAGTCATCTAGTGTGCATGAAAAAGGTTTCTCAGATGATACTGATAACTGTTCTTCAGAACCTGGTTCATTCAAAGAAAATCAAGCACAATTAATGGAACTTTTTAATTTTAGTAGTGACATGACTAGCATTTTACCAACTTGTAATCATATGGTAATCGCTTTTCGTTATCTTCTACCTCAACTTCTGCTTCTACCAAATTTCCAATTGTTGTATCTAGCAGATCATATTGAGGTAATGTAATTTCACTGTTGTTTTTGTGTAAAATAACCATGTAAACGTTTTGTCAGTAATGTTAGGAATAAATAGTATTCAAGTCTGTAAACCTATTTATTTGTGAGACAGCTAACCACCAAGGAAAATGGAAGATGACCTCGCAAATTCGTGGGTTGATTAAAGTTGAACACAAACACCTTTGAATGTCGGCTCAGTGGTCTAGAGATTAAGTATTCACGCGCGAGGCCGAAGGTCCTGTGTTCGATTCCCGGGTGCGGAGCCGTGGATGCACACTGCCGAGAAATCCCCTACTAGAACGAGGCGGTCTCCTAATGCTTCTAGGTTTTCAATGATTGTCTAACTTATATTGGCTCATGATTTCCATGTTGTTTTAGTTTGTCATATGTGGAGTACCTTTTGTTTTGTTCGCTCAGGATTATTTCAACTAAGTGAAAAATAATGATGAGTAGAAGAGTACAACGCAATATTAATTAAAAAATAATCATCACCAATAACTGTCGTCACTTAGTAAACCATTATTAACAAGAGATATTTAGATGGCACTTTCTTCTTAATTCTGAACTGTACTATGGAGTGCTCAAATCCTAAAAAACAATTACAACATCACGTTTGAAGTTCTTGTATTATTTTCTGTATAAACATGATTGATATATATGCTCCATGCTCTCTTTATTTCTAAATATTTTATTCCTGCTTAAAAACATGAAACGTTTTGCAATTTAGAGATATTATAATTTAAATGCAAGATTGTGTAATATGATATTAATGTACGAGAAAAGTATATGTTGTTTTTAGAGAATCTGTTTACTTATAGCACATCAACAAAAAATGTTTCATTTCTCAGATTGGTTTATTAAAAAAAAATAGCAGATGAGATAAATAGTGAATGAATTTTTTGCTTACACCTCAGATCCACTTACGAATACACACAATCTGTTATCTTAACATGCTTTTCGTTATATACAACATGTTTCATACACCCTAGAGTCAGTCAGTCAGTCAGCTGCAACGTAGGACCAGGCACGTATATGCATCGGTCCAAGTTGCCATACCGCATTAGCACAACAAGATGAACACCGGATTCATAGGAGTAGTTAATTCAGTGGTGGTAATATATAGAAGAAAGATTGTGTATAAGGAACACCCTAGAGCAAATACTTTAAACATTGTTAACATGATTGGATGACCCATTTAGTATACAGTTAGCTGAAGATCTATGTACCTATTTATATTCGGTAATTATGATGTTTGATTATATTTCCTTGAAAAAGCTTGGACCAGCGAAACATTGGATTTAATACAAATTCATTCGCTGGGATTTTACAAATACATTCTTCCTCCTTAATGTCTCGCGTCAACTCGGCGCCCAAATACTGCCTAACTATTCGTTCAAATCTAGATGAAAGTCCTTACAAAATAGTATTCACTCTGATTTTTACCCAAAAACTAAAAGGAAACTGCAGTAAACGTGCCACTAATAACAATAAGATCATCATAAGCCACTGAAGTTGGATACTCTCTAAAACCTAACCTAGAATATCGTAATTTACCAATATATATCAACCCTATTCTTCTTCTTCATTCTCCTAAATCGTGCCATCAGCTAACCGTTTTTGTGCTTCTAGTCGATCCAATCATTAACAAACATTTACTGTGAAAGGAGTTAGGATGTCTTACGTAAAATATGCACAAGTCTGTATTGTTAGACAACTTCTCTTTTGACCAAGAACTTGTTGCTGACTTTCACCTGTACGTACTTAAAAGTGTTACTGAATGCGATGAGTACCATAGAAACACCGATAACTGTTATTCAAGGGCTACATAGCACTGTTAATTCACATCGATGGTGTTTCATAAAAGTAATAAGGAACTCCGTACACCAGTTCGTTGAACATCACAATTCTTCCACGTCGAGAGCAATCAGAGCAGTCCAGAGTGCCCTGTTTCATCTGGTCTTTTGTTCTACTCTTTTGAGATTTCCATGGAAACACAACTACTGAGGTCATTGGGACTAATTCACAGATGATAAGTGCGTAGTATGCTTGAAGTTAGCGTAGTATGTATTTTATCTCACCAATATTGTGTTGTTTGGATATTGATGTTTACATACTGGAGAACATAAATTGTACCTATGAAGGTTTTGGCGAACTTCAGATGCATTAGAATAGTTTGTCATGACTGACTGTTAAGTATTAGAGACTAGTCAAATATGATTATGTGATTGAGCTTAAGCAATTTTTAAGGTGTTCTGTTTGTTGTTCCTGACGTCTTGAAAGATAATTCCTGTTACTGTTCTTCAACTGTTATTGGTGATTTTGATAAGATGTTGCAAAACTCCAGTAATATCATTTTGTCACTAAACTAGTGTGTCTAATTTATTAATAATAAATATACCTGCAAGCTTAGTACACAACAATATAGTTTGTTACCGAGTTGATTTGTCATTATTCATTGTTTAAAGAGTATGGGAACTTATCATAATGCACTAGTATGAGAATTTCCAAGTTTTTTATTTGATATTGGTATATTTTGTAGAAGTATGCAGTATTCTTTATATACATGTTTATTTTGTCGTGACTATCGAAGTAGTATTTGTTTACGACAATTAGATGCTTCTCATCTTTAGGCTCTATATACTCATGCTACTGAAGAAAATGAACAATCGACTCTCAAAGATGTAATATCCCTGCTATCGAAAACCCGGTCCACTGTATCTAATGCATTATTTAATCAAGACTGGGTGAAATCTGTCTCTCCGACGTTAGCTTTCTTCTTGAAAACTCCTTTCTGTTCTAATCTCTATCCAGCTGAAGGTAGAAGTAAATTGGAAGAATTGATTTCTTCAGTTCGTCGTATGCAACACTCTTCTGAACTTCCACTTGTTATGTCCGAGTTTCTGATGGGTATGTGTGAATCTTATATTTGTTATATTGTTTATTCAGCGTTATTTTCAGATGAAAGTTATGCTACAGAATTCATTTAAATATAATTCGTAGTATATGAGGCTGTATATCATCAATATCTTTTGGTTATCAGAAATTACCTCTCTAAAACTTATTAAACTGAAAATGCCCAAGATATACATTTCCCAATGGAGTTATGATTGTATGGATTTACTACCATTTATTTGTGGCAACTCTTGTATATTTTCTTCAAAATAGTTACACCCAAGTTGTAATTATCCAAAACTTAAAATGCTCAAACCACACTGTAGTTTAATTGTTCCCTACTGCCTTACACTTACTTGTTTGATACACACCGCTGAAACTCCTTCCTTTTTTTCGAGATATTACCATAGTTAGCACCCAAATAATTAACATTTTTAAATTATAAACACTGTTTTCTTCTTAATGATAGCAATTTTAGTTGGTAATTTCTGGTTTTCTTTGACTAATCGTTAGCAAACTTATTTTAAACAATATATCTAACGATTATTTAAAAAAATTTATTTATGATTCTTTGATTTTCATACAAATTGAATTTTTGAGAAAAAGAACTAAGTTTATTATACACATCATTAACAGTCGGTTATGTGCTGTTAGATTAGAAAGTACCATCAAAGTGAGAAAAAGTCGGCGTGAGAAATGATGTCTCTTCGTCATCTCCGCCTATGCTCCGACAGATTGCAGCCCGGATGCGATCAAGGATAATTTTATCATAAGTTAACTGTTCTTCAGAAAGTGCGTTCTACAGATATCGTACGTTAGTCACCAATGTATCTAGTTGGCTTAGATTGTACATATTGGGAGAATCTCCTGATCATTTGTTTACAAAATTTGCAAAAAACATATCCACTAAATCGTATTGGTTACATAACTTCATTTGGGCCTTCAGAAGAACATCCTTATCAACCTTAACGTATTATGCCAACATTTCTTTCTCCTAATCTTATTTTTTCATGTTCTTACATAATTTTCGAGGTTTTCTTCAATATTACCAAATCTTTATTCCATCATACATTTAAATTTCAACGTTTATGACGTTATTTTCTAATAACTTTCCGTTAGATTAGAACGAATAGTTTCGTAGTAGTTGGGTGCCGAGTGTATAGAAAACATTCAAATAGAAATTGTATTTGTAAAAATTCAGCTTTTTAAATTAACAATATCCAGTGTTTCATTCAGCAGTCTAGTTGGAGCTTTTTCAGGGAAATAATCAAAACCCAAAATTAACTCGTCAACTAGCTCATATTGACACTTTAACAAATGCTAAATTCGGCATCTTACCATAATTGAATAATCGTTTAGTATGTTGATGTTTTGTAAATCCTATTTATATCCAACGATTATGATTTTCCATTATTTCCCGGATGAAGCTCAAACCAGATCGCTGGACGTTATATTGGGGTTATTTTTAATTTAAATCGTTAGGATGTTTACGATTATAGTTTCCGTTTTAATGTTAACGATGTTATTTCGCTTCCTTATCTACTTTTCTTATGTGAGAGGATTAAAACTTACTTCTCATCTCTTCAAAAGAAACCCGATTTAACATATATTGTAATTCTCCAACACTTTCTTTGACCAAATGATACATTTTGTATTTTAACTCGTTTACTTTCATAATTGTTTTGTCACCTCACAATAAATATATACTCTATCCCAAGACAACTATTACATGTAACTGAGTTATTCCGGTTCATAGTGGATCCTACAGATATGTATAAACTCATGAAATTCCACTTCATGATCTTCAATTGTTTCAAACGTTCGTTTGTAAATAAGTAAATAAAATGTATGTTATTAAGGGAAAAATGTCAGTTACTATTAGTTCGCCTTCAAGTAAGTCAACTCAAAGCAAACTTATTAATAGACACGTATAAACATCAGTAATATTATATTGAATTTACCGTTTGATATCAGCCTAAATTACAAATTACCCTATTTACTGTTTATTTATCTATTATCTCTTCATATGCATTGTATTTTATCTGTGTATATCTAGATGGCCCAGTGCAAGTAAGAGTTGATCATGGTCGGCCAAAGAAATCTGAACGAATTGCCTACTTGTTTAGTAATTGGCTTTTATTGTGTAAAAAGCAAAAACGTGTACTAAGTAACGTTGTGTCATCGTCGTCATCATCCAATGCAAACTATGTGTTAAAAGTGAAAAAACGCATTTGCCTAGAACAGTTTCATATAATCGATGTAGCTTCAGAGTTCAGTGACAATAATGGTAAATTATGTTTCTAATAAGACTTTTTGTCTCGATCTCTGAAACTTTTAAGGTTGCAAATTGTATATTGATTTCTATGAATTTCTGAATAGCTCTTTGGTTCTAATAACTTAACAATAAAGTTAACTGGTTTTTCAGCTTGTGGTTGCAAATGTTAAATTTGATTTTCAAATTTGGACGAATTTTTAACTGACGAGGCTTTCCTTCAGTGAACAACTGGTGTTCTTTTTTTACTAATGATTCAATCTTAATGGTTGATCCCACGTATTGTTTTATATTTTCTAATCTGCAGATCAAACTGTGTTATCTGTATCGATGATATTTTTTTACCGCTTTCCTACTTTTAACATAGTGCTTATATTTAGACTGGTATTTTGAAATTTTCTGTTTATTATGTGTTTAATATTTGGGTGCTTATGGATTCGCTAATACTTAGACTGTTATGTGAGTTCTGTTTTTGTAATGTATGCTTATGTGTTATCGTAGGATGATGGATTCAGGTATTTTGCATCACTCACCAGTACTTTTAAAAGTTAAAGAATACATGAAGGGTAGTTAGTTCCTCTTCGATTCATAACAATAATCTATAGTCCTTAAGTTTATAGTTATTCTTTATTTGGTTGAAATTCCATAATTTCATCGAATATTGATAAGAAAATGTGTTGAAAGAAGTTTATTAATGAAAACAATGCTCATTAAGAATCAAGATTAGATATAATTTTTGGATTTCAGATATTTCTTTACTCAGGTGTTCTCCCTAACTCAGTTATTCTAATTGGTTTCTGTTCATATTACAATCGGCTCTCTTTAAACAAGAAAATAATGATTAACTGAAATTGATGAGTTTTAGAAATAAATTTGTTTAGTATATAGATCATAGTTACGTCGAAATATTCTGGCCTATAAATTCCACTTACTATATTCATTATCTCTTGTTATTCCTAAACATTACCGTAAACTAAATTTCTTTATTGATGGTTGCACATATAATTCACTTGTGGAACTAAGTTATTTATGATGTAAACTACTCATAATCGGCAGACTTATGAAATACTAGTATGTAACTGCATGTTTATGTATGTTTTGCCAAATTCGTGTCTTTTTGATTAAAACTGTCCTAATGCCATGTAGTTTAGTTACATTCATCAACTTAATTGAATCTTGATACTAGTGCTTGACTTCATTGATAAATTGCATGATAACCGTCTATTTTTGTTTTGATCGATAGACCTCAGTACGTTATACATTTTGGTCATTTAAAGTACTACATATATCCTTCTGTTATTTAATAACCTATCCGAAGTCATTAGGATGAGAAGTAATTTATGAAATGAATTCCTCAGGAAAATTGTTTACTTTAAGTATTGATATTAAATAATATGACGTATATTTTCATCAAAAATCCAAAATAGTCATGTTGGGTAATATATAAATTTCATGTACTAAGACAGCGAATAAATGATAAATAAATAGAGCAACGATTCACTTACTAATGATCATTTATTTCAGAAGGGAGGTTAAATAGTATGTGGTGATTATAATTTGCGAATTTACACAACTTCATCCGTTTCATGGTTTAGTCTATTTTGTGAAAACATCTTCAATTGTTGCTCATGAAACTGGATTATTAATTCAAACATCCCAAACGAACTGATACTAGTAAGCAAGACAACGACCCATTAGAATAGGTTTTTTTATCCAATAGAGTAACATGCTTATTGTATATAAACAAATTCTTAACGGAAAAAAATTAACAAGATTAGATGTCACAAACAACTGAAGGCTATCAATTTTGTAAGTAAATTATTCATTCAGTCTCTAATAAATTAAGACCTGAATGTTAGGGCCAATTTCTCTTTGTTACAACACTAATTATAACTAGGTATTTTCCTAAATGTTTCTGTTTTTGACATTGTTCGTTACAGGTATGTTATTCCTCTTTGACTTGGAATGTTGGGAAGCTCCTAAACTATCATCTATCATGTCTAATGTACAAACAAACACAACTAGTTCGTTTAATGCCAATACACTCTCGTCTTGTAATTCTTCTGTTTTACAAGCAGAAACACAGTCTGTACTCTCTGGTTCATCCAATCATCATTACCAACTTCAACTTGGCAGTGTACTTTCTGTTTCTACACTTACAAGTACTAACACATTGATTGATCATACCGTTGACTTAAATAATATTGGAAATAATAATAATAATGAAAATGACAAATCATTAATTCTACCAACCGCTGGTGATGCAGTGGAAGCTTCAAACAATGCTTTATTGGAAGTGATCTCATCTTATCCAAAACAGCGTTTCACATTTATTTTCTACAATAAAGAAGATAAAGCCAATTGGATATCAGCTTTAGTGTATCTTCATTTAGCTAGGTATTTTTGTTGTCAATAAATAAAGTCTCTAATGTCTATTCGGGAACAGCATGTTTTTTTACGTTAAACACAATCTGATATATTTTGTGGTCAGTATTTTCTTATGAATTGGCTCTGTACTTTATAGGCTTTACCACTGACAGCAGGAATCCAATCAGCAAGGTAAAGTGGGTTGTTTTTAGGGGTTCTTCCTTTCGTTGTTAGAAAATAGGATAACTTCAGTTACTGGTTGTTTGACAGGATCACCTTACTGCTGTCACATCCCTGTACAGTTGGCAGCGCGATTTCAGACCCGGACCTTAAGTCGCTACTTTTAATGCTACTGCTTTCTAACCAACCTACTTGAAACAGTAGGACATGAAAGAACAATTGTTGCTGCCAGTGTAGCTCGATTGGATTATCACAATCTGTTAGCTTGACCACTATGTTACAGTTAGAGCTACGATTGGGTTAAAAATATTTTTAGCTGAACGATTATCTGTAATAATGATAATTCTTGACTTATACAGAGTTTGACGTGTCAACTTCATTTGTCTTTTCATAGATGTTAAGTAAATAAGAATTTCTTTTTTATTTCAGATTGATGTTTTCAATTTGTCTCATCATAATCTTTCTACCGAATCCTTCTTATTACTACTACTTTTAAACTTAGTCTTCTACCAATGATCACTGTATTTTTATTAGGCTACTCATAAATTTATATATATAAAGCTTAATTTTAGTCTTTCTTTTACTTTCTAGACTGTTTAAACGATATCTCACGTCCCTCCCTCGTCAAGATCTTCCTTTAATTTTACCATCTCCTTCAGTTTACCGGTAAGTGTTCCTGAAGTAGGGTGTTTTTAATTTCTTAGTAATGTACTTTTTATGCATTTAATCTACAGTCTTCCTAGAAATCTATACTGATCTAGATAACAATGATCTATTTCTCAGTTATCGGCCTTATCAATCCTTGTATAGTATGATAGTACTATATATATATAGTAGGGTAACTGTCATTCATTTCTCTCCCTTTCACTTCGATTCAGTTTTTCATGAAAAAGATTAAATTTCGAGCATCTCACTTAACTTACAGAATCTCAGAATCTTTAGAGGAGACCATCTTTATGCATATAATGATTTGTTTTGGTTACAATTTGTAAAATCAGTTGAAGTGAATTGTAAATTTTGTTGTTCTGTAATTATTCACAGGGATAAACTTTATTGATTAACATATTAATGTCCTTTGGTCTTGTTTTCATTTGCTAGAATATGCAACATGTCTTTAATGATGAGACAATAGTCAAATCGTTTGTTTTAGCTTACCCTATCATGGTTATTTAATATAATCATGAATATGAATAAATGATGAGGTTATTCCTCTATTTTGGTATTTCACTAATAATCTATGAAATGTAGAAAAAAAACTGTACTTATATTTTGTCTCTTAATATGTTTATTTTTCTTTAAAAATTAGAGCTTTTCGTAGACTAATCTCGTTAAAAGGAAAAAAAGATTCAACTGTTTCCAAATATATTATACATAGTGATGTGGGGAAAAATAATGACGCGGACTAAAGGACTGGTTGTTTAACTTAGTATATACTTGGATTGTATAATTGTACTATGATAGGTGGTTTGTCTCTGAATTGACAAAGTTATTAGTGTTAATATAATGACAAACAGATTTTATTAACAGTAGTTGTGGATATTATTGAATTTCACTGAAGCCACGAACCAATTTATATTGGACAACTATTAATAACCTGTAGGCACTGAATAACCGTTTTCTCCTAGAATCTCATGGAATAACTATAGGTCCCATCAATACGATAGAGTATATTACCCAGTAACTAATTTAAATTTTCTCATTTTATCTTACAGATGATTAGCATAAAACAGCTTATTAATAATTTCATTGACTTTTGAATTGAGTAACTGATTTTAATTTCTTAGTAGTTCCCGTTTCGTATGTTGATTGTCTCCAATCATGTACATAAATAGATCTCAAGTGTTTTTCAAAATGAATTTCTTCATTTCCGTATTAATAATAAGGTCATTGAATCTGTCATTAGATCTAAATACATTTGTTATTTAAAGAAGTAATCATTGACTTATCAATCAAAATATTATATTTATTCCTATTCATATCTGATATCAACAGTGACTGTGTAGTTTTACTCAATGTGTTATCAATATAAGCATATTATTACATTTTTTTATTACAGATATGCTGTTCCCGACTCTCCATCTAATATTATATTTGAATCTTCTCAAACAGATGGTAGCGCAGGAATTCCTGTTATTCGTGCTGCTACAATTTTGAAACTTATTGAACGAATGACATATCATGAATATTTTGATAATAAAACTTTGAATGCATTTCTTTTGGTATGTTTACTTTTTGTTAATTTATTTTGTTCTATCTATTTCATTAAATATACTTATCTTTACTACTAACAAACTTAGATTAACTCTAAGCATTCAAAAGTAAATATGTTTACATGCCGTCTGTCATTGTAGAACATTTATGTATACTCATTGTCATAGTCTCTAGTTCTTACCTTATGTTTTATGCTAAATATTGAAGAACATATAGAAATAATATATATACCTAATGATTCCCCATAGTTATGTTTTATGATCCAATCAGCCTAATGATGGTAGCGTCTCTGTAAACGATATTGAACGATAAATTTGAGTTTAACATCACCAATGTACTCTGAACTGTATATGAAAAAGATGCGCCATTTACAGTGGGATGAATAATGTACTATTTGGCTCGTAAGTTCAAACATCATTTGATCTACTTTAATTTCATCAATCCTCACACAATCGATTTAATTTAAAATCAAGTACACAGACATGTTCCTGATTACTTGTATTTTTTTCCCAGCTAAACTAATTTTATACTAGATCAAAGTAATTAAAATGTTTGAATGTAGGCTGAAAGTTTCACTAAACTAACTGCAACACATTGTAAGTGGTAAAAGTGTACAGTTAATATTTATTTATTTGATTATTGTATGAGATGCTGAAATTATTTATTCCTCACTTCTCCACCTACTATTTACTTGTTTATTATGCATACTTGTTGCGTGATATAAATAAACAGAAAAATGTAAAACAATAAATTATATGTTTCATCTTGTATTGGTTGATTCAATCTTCCGATTGACGTTTAGGACTGCAATTGATCAGCTTCTTAGTGGCGTATATGAATTCTATGTGGATTGCTTCGATATTGCCTTAAGTCACGAGCGTTATAAGTAGAGATGGATGGTGGCTAGCAGTAAAGGTGCATCCAACTAACGAGTCCCAAACAGAACGAAACGCGTGTCCTGGATCCGATTGCTAGCCTACATCCATAAATTGTTTATTTCTTTGTAAAAATATCCACTAATTGTTGGTACTTTAATTAATTTACCGTCACATATGTAATCATAAATTGATCTAATTTGTTAAAAAATCTCCGCTTCACACTTGCATGTTGTTGCATGTTTTATTCTATTATCATTATTGATGAAATTAATAAATTTGTTTATTAGTTTATTCTGTAAGCTTTTATTTTCATACATTCAATGTATGTAATCAAACTGATATTAATAGACGATGCGTTTATTTGTTAGGTTCAGTGAAACTATTATACGTTGAGACAATTAGGCCTACAACAATTTCTAATTACAAATGGGATCCAATAGCAACTAGATGGATTGACAACTGACATACAACAGCACTTCAACATTAATATTTCACATGCGAATGAGACGTAGAAAATATAAGATATTCAAGATAGCTTTATGTTCCGAACAAAGTTCAAATTGATCTCTGGACAATACAAAATTAGAAAAGTGAACTAGAAAAATGTTATCGTGGTTATATATATATATATATATATATATATATATATATATATATATATATATATATATTGGGCCAACTCACTGTATTAACATTATTACTGTAGTGAACGCTACTCACAAGGTTAATCGTAATTAGTATGCAGCAGGATGTTACCTTGAGGCTGTCACAGTCGTCAGATAGGGAGAAGAGTTTCTGTACATTGAAAGCTCGGTGTGGGCAGAACAATTGAAGACCAGAAGAGAAGATAGTACGCATTGCAGAACACACTGCAAAATGCAAACAAATGGCCTAAGGCCATGTATACGTGTTATATAAACCCTTTGCAATTTCTCACAATAAACATTTATTCCATCTGTCCATTACCTTGTTTTACACTACCACTGGTGCTGTAGATCAAACTTTCTAGTCATCTTCAATGGCTTATGGTTGTTGATTTTGTTCCTACTTAGATAGTTTACTACAACTGTCATTTCATTCTTTCGTATCCATATACAAAGTATCCATGTGTTTAAGCTGAACGTTTGTTTCAACTAGATTCTAATGAATTTGAAATAATAAGCAAAAGTATAAAATTATGAAGGCTTGCATCATACTGAATATGAGTAGTATAAATATAAATATAAAATTATTGTGTTGTTTTGTCATTCTATTATGATTTGTAACATTGTGATATCCTTCTTTTCAATTATTGTATAGACATACCGACGTTATATTACTTCGCTGGAGTTGTTGGATTTATTAATTGAACGCTTTAACATACCGAATCCAGATTTTACCGAGGCTGCTAATGAAACATTCAATTCAATCAAAGAACGTGATGGTTCACTTACTGTTGCTTTACGTTTAGAACAACGTTTCCGTTCAGTGTATAAACGGCGTGTACAATACAGGTTTGATCGAGTTTCATTAGTTTTTCTGTTACTTGTGTTGTTAGCTGATACTAATTGCTTATGAATATTTTGTTGTGGTCTAAGCACTCTTCAGTTAACACAGAATTATTGCCCGGTTGTACTCGTCACAGATTGCTCTCAGTTGGGGTATGACTGAAAACTAGGTAGCACTACTAAATAGCTGTTTCGTCTTAGGATGGAGTTCATTAATACAGCGGTGAATACAACCTAAACACTAAACTAATCCCCACAAAACCCCTTCAGCTAAACTATAATAATTGGTTCATTAGTAACCTACTTCAAGAATTTCTGGTGAAACGTTGTGACTGGTGAAGTTCAGATATGTGAGGAGCCAAACAATTTGTTACCAAATGGCATTTGATTGCCATTCTGTATTGTGAACCGTGCGAAGTTAGGGTTGTATCACTGGGTGCCGAACTAGTTGTTCAAGAGGTCAAACGTTTCTTCTCGTGATCCGATGGTCCTGGACTTGGTCTCTGTTAAATGCTTTCTGGTCTTCAGTAGTGAATTGATTGAAACCAATCTATTCAAAATAGAACTTACCAATTAAAGCAATATCGACGAAAGCCCTGGTACGGCCGAGAGTGGGGAGAGTCTGCTCTTCTCGAAACGCTCTCACATGGCCACGCGTATACAGCCACTGCCAGGAAGGTCCTACTCACTGCCTTCTTGTGGCGAAAGTGTCGTTTGCAAAATTGAGAGGACGAAAAACGAATGTCCGTCACAATAACTGTATTGGTGGATAAGGAGGATCCACATAGAGGAGTTGGAAAATCTTGATTCCAAATCGATGGTGCACATGGGCTCCATTATCCTGAGGGAACAAATGGCGCATTAACCAACTATTGGTCACCGACTACCATGGGACTGCATCTCCTTACGTTGCTTCACTGCCTTTTGGATCAAACGTTTAGATCGAAGGCTCTGGATGTGGCCTCCTAAGAAAACTACCTGCTTCGGTTTGGGTGCCTGGGTAGTATCATAGCCAACACACAAATCAAGTGACTCGTATGGCGTTTCATGTATTCGGTACCTCTTTGTGCCAATGTTTATGTGTTTAAATAAACAAATAAACGTTCAAAAAACTTTTTTATGGAAATTTACGGTCGTCTTAATGGTCTCATATTTCATTAAATAACGTTTTTGGGAAGTTCCATGGATAGAATGAATGGAAACACTCAAGAATAAATTTGTTAACTGGGAAGAAGACCACACATCTGATACAACCAAGCAGATTTCGTACGATGATGAAAAACTCAGTTGACTTACTAATACATGAATCGATAACAAATATGATTATTTCCCCAGCCGTGGAATATCAGATGAGAAAGTCTGACCGGTGACTGTAAATAGTACCACTGTTTGCAATATATATATATATATATATATATATATATATATATATATATATATAGCGGAATGGCTCATTCGACATTTGACTGACCTATTCCACCACCATTCAGATGTTTTCGTCTCTGCACTCAGCACACCAATAACAATGTTAATAACGTCAATTTGATTAACAAGTAACATTGGAAATTAAATTAATTCATCAGATTTCTCCACAATTGATCGATTATCCCTGAAATTGTAGATCGATCACACCAATACTATCTCCACTTGTTATGGGTTTTTTATTTGAACGGTAATAAAAGATTCATAATAATGGAAAGTTATAAGGCTCACTTATAAGAAAACTCGTTAACTCCATTATCAACTTGCAGTTAAAATTTAACATGAAATCTATGTTTTCGAAATTGCATTTTATGAGCTCGGTGGTTCAGTCATAAAGTTTCCATTGTCTTCCTAGACACGATATCACCAGCACAAACTTGAGATAGAATTCAGGTATTCGAATTTTTCAAAAAAGTGACTAGCATCTTTTAAAGTTCATAGGTTGTTGTCGTTTAGACTTATTCTGTCATCGTCTGCTTTATTATCTTGACTTTTTCTGACTATATCCATCTCACAAAACGAAATTTTAACAAAATCATTCTCTTTTGTTACATATTTTCTCGATCATTCAATCCATTGGTTGCTCAATCCCATTTACAAATATAGACAATTTAATGAAGTGAATGATAGTGTAAAAAGTTGTTAGCACTTTATTTATATACCTCTCATCTATATTATTGGGATTGTCTCCGTCAATCAATCTGTGTCGTTACTACTCTTCAACGACAGTTCAAGTGTTCACAAAAGTCTTCACTTGTATTCATCGCCAAGTCACATTCAGTTCAATATTTATTTGAATGTTATCTTAAAACTTTCATCATCTTACTATGATTGTCTTTTTTTTGAAAAAAAATTTATTTCAGGGTTTTAAATTTCATTATTAAATGGGTGAAAAATTCTTCTTACTATAAACTTGACATATTACCAGATGCTGTATTACGCAGTAGATTGTGGGATTTTCTAGACACTGTAGATGCTCGTAATTTATCTGACAATGTGACAAATATTCGTAAATCTCTTCTTGGTGATAGAATAAGATTAATTCAAACAATTGAACAACTTCCACCTGAACAACTTGATTTCGGTTTGGTTACATCATCAGATGACGTGAAATTAACCACAGTAAGACTTGTTATATATGCACATTACTACAATTTTAAATCTATATATTTTATTAGTGATAAGATTTGGCAATATTTATTTTACAAGAATTTTGATCCAATTTAATCTTACATTAATATATTACTCAATTATCCTTATTATTTGATTCGTATATTTCTTTGTAATTTTCAAACATCTTTTTAATTTTTTGTATTGATAACTTGAGTAGGTTGAGTTGTATGATAAGACTGTTTAAAATGTTCTCTAATCTAGCACTTCGTTCCACTTTTATGTTAAATATACCATCCAAATTTTTATAAGCAAATATCGTACAAAGTCATTGAAGTCTTTCTCTAGATAACAAAGTCAACTACATGTAAACCAATTGTTCTAGTATTTCCGAAGAAAGAAGAATATTCTGTTTCTATTATGTGTTTCTTGTGAATTTTGTCCAATGAAATTCAGCCATTACATTTGCAACTATCTTATCATTGTGTTTTATATATCAAGAATAAGTTTTTTTCTTGTATTCAACTGTTATACAATAGTAGCATATAATAAAAGTTCTTGATCAATAATTATTTATCACTTAACTCCTGAAAAGTGTGTAGTTTGTAAGATTTTAGAACGTACCCAATTGTTTGTGCATATAGTGCCAATCGCTTTTCGATAATGTTTAGGATAGACTAGACTGTTTCCAGTACATTTTATTTGCAGATATTAATGAACTTCAATTTAATGTCTACTGTGTTCATCCTCTTCTTATTTTCATTACATCGACTGTTGATTTTTTTTAAAGGTTCATCCGTTAGAATTCGCACGTCAGGTAACACTATATGAATGGGAGTTATATTCCCGCATTGAATTTTGGGAAGTCACTGGTAAGGAAAAAATCAAATCTCCCAATTTCGAATTATCACTCCAGTTTTCCAATAAGGTTTGTACTTTCATTTTTGTCAGTATCATATGATTATTACTTATAATAACATCTATAAAATAAATAATATATGATTGATATTACATTTATATCTCAACCATTTTATATTATTGACGTTGACATTAGTACACTTATTTAGTTAGCAATTACTCAGTCATCAATCTAGAGTTTGACAGAAATGTGCATTAGTCTAAGTTGTTATACCGGATTAGCTAATTGTGGTGAAATTAACACTATGAACAGTAAAGTAATCTAAATAATATAGTATTAATTTCAATGAGAAAGACCAAGTATTAAAAATAGGCTTCGAGAAGAGGGAATAAAAAGTTATTTACGAAGAGAAAATAGAACTGAAGACCTAGAGAAAAATAAAGAGTAAATACATTTGTTCTATTATGAATAATTCTCATCCATTTCATCCAACCTCCCCAACCACTAATCACATTTGTCACTTGGACCTCAACCAGATAGGCTGCATTTACCAAAATGGTCAACTCTAGCTTTTTTCCAACCTACTTCCGGTTAGACATACATGAAACACGTTCAAACCGCCCCGGTCGATGAAGACCCACTGTTTCACCAATCGATTTACCATTTTTATCTGATACTCTGCGTTTAACTTCAATATTCCTCACCCATTGGGTCGGATATACGCTAGCAATGTTTCTGTTAGTAAATATTATATAGGTTGAATATTAAATCCCTGTTTATTATTCCACAACTTACATAATCTTTGGTTATTAATTTATAAAATTGTTTATTCATCTACGATCCTCAATTTAATACCTTCTTAATAACTCAGTCAGTCTGTAAAACGCAACGCAGAAACTGAGATAAGTGTACATCGGTTCAAGTTGCCATACCCCTTTAGCACAGAGAGATGAAATTGCCATGATAAGTGTAAGAGTAGTAAAAGTAGTAACAGGATTGGTGATAATCGAAAAGGTTAAGCATCGAAGATACGTTTCGAGAGTAAGTAAATCATTGGAAAAAATAGTGAGGAAATTTAGCAACTCAAGATCTAAGGAACGACAAACAATCAATGAACCTGCACTATTGCTTTTTATTTTCTAAACCGATTTATGTACAATCTAAATGCGTTTATGATTTATCCATTTTCTGAACATTTTATGATTATCGTTGAGCTGTAATTGTTTTCTATTTGTTTCTGTCTTTCTATAGTTTAAATGTTGGTTAGTTAGTTCGATAATGTCAGCTGAACATTTAGAAGACAGAATGGTTATTATGCAACGTGTCGCTGATCTATTAGTATACTTCGATAGTTTGAATAATTTACAAGGTGTTCAAGAAGCCAAAGCTGCTCTATTAAGTTCTCCAGTATTTCGACTAAGTGAAACCTACGATGTATGTTGTCTATGATTTGGAAATTTTATTTTTTGATAGCTTTTGTTTGTATGTAAACATGATGATGATCTTAAATGTTTTAGTGATATATCTGTTGTATTTATTTATTTCCAGGCTTTAATCTCCAAATCAAAATGTCATTATCGTAACTTTTTTGAATCATTGCGTCAGTTCGTTCAAGATGATTGCGCAAACGTTTATTTTACCGATTATCAAGAGAAATTGCATCGAATTCATCCACCAGGTCTCCCGTTTATTGCAGTTGGGGATAAGACACAACTGATACATTTAGAATTGAAGCATCCAGATTGGGTAAATGCTTCTACATTGCCATTTCCAACTGTACCAGACACACAGAATTCTAATAGTGGTTGTTTGGTTAACTTTTGGAAGTGTCGTCAATTAGCTGAACTTGTTGAATATTATTTGTCTTTTCAACAAACTCCATATAATTTCTCCATAAATAAGTCTATCCGCGTAAGTTCTTAATAGATGCTGTATAATATATATATATATATATATATATATATATATATATATATATATATATATATTCATTCTTTTATGAATCTTAGATAAGTGTTCACTTGTATAAGCAACCACCACAGTCACCAACCTCACGAACATTCCTGCTCATCACTATCTGCAACTCTTCTCATTGTATATTTTCAGTGTCCCTATGTTAAATATATTGTAGTCTACAAAAATTTTCTGACTTTCTACTGATTATTTAAATTAACGAAATGTTATCCCATGTTTGCTAGAACCTTAATTCTCACTAGGAGTAAAAGCTTTCAGTATTATAATTTTTTTCTCAAATTGAACAACACGTCAAATTATCATGAACTTTGTTATTTTGACACTTTGTATGTGAAGAAAAATCTTCATAAGAGTAGTTATACATTTGATATGTACCCTAGTCATTTGATTTGATTCGTATAACGAATCGATAGCTCTTTATCTACTTGAAATATTAGATTATCATTATTTAGTAACCGTTTTTTATCACTGAGTATCGATGGTATTAATTCATATGGTATTCCCTTAGTGTTTTCTCCCAAATCCTTAATATTTCTGTTCTTATATTGACTTGGGTAATTCATTTGGAGGTTCAGTGAGTTTGGTAAGTATCAGATTCATCTATATATATATATATACCTTATTACTAATTCTTGAGTATTCGTTTGGTTTCTATTACAGGGTTTCCTAGAGACATTAAACCCATTGAATACATGGGGTGTTGACAGTGAGAACTTATTTGACGATATTATGTATGAAAAATCTTTGAAAATTCAGCCTAAGCGATCTGATTCATTTTGTACAGTAAGTTCACATTTTAAGTTAACAATACGCTTAACAACCCGAATAACTCACATGTAATATAGGGTACATAATTTTAGGTACACCATTCAGTGTTAGTACTCATCAGTTTATCGAAATCTATATTGTTCAATCATTTACTTTGATTTATTGTATCTCTCTTAATTCAACACAATATCTTTCGAGTTATAACGTCATTATGATTTCGTTTTAAATTATGATCAAGATTTATATAGATTTTGCGAGAATAGTTATATGCTTTCTATGATTATGATAAACTGACAATTCATTTTTGTCTCTCTAGTTATCTATTATGATTCATATTTTGTTTTTACTTATTGTTTACTATGTATGTTGTAAAATGAAAAAGCCTTCTTAAAGCTATTAATAGAATTTTAGAATCTGAGCGTTTAGGTTTCTTTATTTATTGGCAGTTATTAATAGAATTTATTTGGAACGTTGATCGATTTGACGATACAGGCCAGTCCTGAAGCACCATTTTTCATTTAAACCTGATGAAGCTCTAGAACGAATTTAAACGAAGTCGTTTAATATTTAATATCCAGATATTATCATTTAGTTATTCAAGGAGAGAGTGAATCCCCTGTAACTGATTAATGGGGAAAATATCATTTTATTTTCTACATTATAACTGTCCTATGAATGTGACCTTCATACCGTGCTAAACTTTATAGTTTATCACATGTCTTTATTTTTTCCACGTAAACTTATCAAATCTCTAATTCCAGGTATCTCGTGAACGTAATCTAAAGCCTGTAGAAATAAAAATCGCAGCTGCATTAAATCTTGTTCAACCGGATCCCAAGTTAACTGCTGACTCACGGGAGTTTCGTAGTCTTCTTCAGATGATTTCTACTGTTACAAACCGTTCATCAAACCTAACTTCAACATCCGAAAACCAATTTGTGAAAGAGTTTTCTAATATACCTGATAAAGCTGTTGAGCAGACAAGTGATAAGTCAAATACAGTTGCATCCTTAACATTAAAGGACCCTTTGTCATCTCTCCGAAATTCTAATGGTAATTCATTTCTAATGTCTGATACTGACAAACGTTCAAGTCATTTGAAATCAATTTTAATGAGTGAGCTATCAGATTGCATTGTCTTTAAGTTCATTGGGTTTATTGAATATTTTGTATTGGTTAATTTCTAAATAATAATTTTTCCAACATTTAAGTACTTAATTTGTAATTTAAGATCACCTAAATATTTCTATTTCTAGGGAAGGTTATTTAGGAGTTTACCTCAAAACAAAATGTTTAAATCACTAACTTTTTTTATAACTAATAATTCACTGTGGGATGTTATTTATCCTTAAATCATAAATCTTCCGGCAAATATTTTTTTGATAAAATTATCATAATTAATGAAATATTGATGTATATTAATATGCGTGGTACTTGAACGCTTAGATACAGATTTTCTAATCTCTTCGTAGTTTCCAGAAATCTTTCATCCTGAAGGGGTAAACAAAAGCTGGAAAGTCTGAAACAAGCTTCACTTTTAAGTTTAGTATGTGTGTAGAAAATAAAGATATTTATAGTATTTTATATGGCCTTATGCTTTTAGACATCTGTGGTTAGTTGCAAAATTGGTAATTATCCAACCTAATTATGACACAATTTGTCGTTTTCTAGAATGCTTTTAAAAGTGTAAATCTCGCTGATTAGTCAAAATATTTTCATCATTATTCCTACGTTTGAAGACTTTTTCGAAGAATTATTAAAGGATGTCAACATATAATTAGTTAGTAATGCAATTAGAAACAAATTAATATAATTTTCTATATTATATGTTAATTATTTAGTTTATGTTTGAATAAGTTCAAATGATATTTTGTTGTTATTTCACTACGTTATCAATCAAATTGTACCTGAAGACACCTGTACTACTACTTCATCGTCATCACCTGTAACATTTCTTCACAATGATAGTTCTCAATTTACATCAGTCGATACTCTCCCCGTTAATGCTCATATTAAAGGTGATAATGCACAAATTGTGTGCATTTCTTCCCCACCGCCTCTACCTCCTCGAATTAGTAGGTCGATTCAGCGAAATGTGCATTCAGAACAGTTTAGCAATCCAATCGCAACATTTCAAGAATCCTCTCATGGTGTATCTAACTACACGTTTTCAGATATCAGAGGTACGTTTATTAATATGACAAATGATCTCTTATTACATTGTTCATGCCTATAGGATTTTGTAAATGCTAAATTTTTGATGAGATTGGGATTTTCAAGGGAATATTCACATGTGCTTAGAATGAACAAAATTATGTTTCCTCATTTTATTGAAAAATTTCTTTTGGAAGTCACAAATTTTTAGATGAAAAAGTGATCTTTTCTGGTTAGCGGTTTTTTAGAAAGGTTCTTTTTTAAGGTGTGAAGTTGCTAGCCTCATGTTCAACATTCCCTCTTTATCTGGGTTTGGGACCGGTAGTAACTCTAGAAGAGCTCCAGCTCAACGATCTTCAGATATACTGGAATAATTTGGCATTTTATCTTCTAATTTCGTCATATTGAGTTTAAAAGTGAAAGGAGCTCTCATTTTTTGCATAAAATATCAAGTTTTTAGGTTTTGGTAATCCTCTTTAATAACAAAAAGTTAAGGTTTCTAAAATTGTCAAGTTTTATGAACTTGTTTGATAGACACTGTCAAATGAAGTGTTTAAGTAAACGTTTACATTAAGTACTCATTGATGAAAGCACTTAGTTCTCATCAGGTAACGACTACTTTTGATCTATTTTCTATCAATTTTAACTATTGTTGAACAAGTTAATAAATAAGATTTTCTACCATTCTAGTTGTTGCTAAATGATCCTAATATATCTTGCTATTCATTTTGTTTAGTCAGAAATATTGTCTACAAGGGATTCGTCTTCGATCGTTTTCAACGTACTGATGTTGTCCAATATATAGCGACTTAATAACTTTACTCATACATAGATACCTTAAGTTGATGATGCAATTAAATTGTTTCTCCTAAGAGTGTGAAGTTAAAATAATATTACTCAACTCTGACAAAAGTCATCCTCTCACATTACACATGAACTATAATCATACGAATTGCTTCCCATTATTTGTAGAGTTCAAAAGAAAGACGACGTATTCAATCGAATGATTATTTTTATATTTATCAGTGCTATGGTTGCACGAAGTATATCATCTAACTTCAGTTTACACTTATTCAACAGGTGCGGATAACCAGACATTATTGACACATACGTACTTGGATAGGTAGCTGCACAACTCATAAGCTTACTATTAATATACATGTTTATATCCGTTCAGGGTCATTTTCTTTTTAGTAGCTTGATAACATAAGCTCTTGCCATCCAATGATAGGTAAATTAACTATCTAAATGTTAAAGGTGGTAAAATTTTGATTTCGTTCAAACACTTAAAGATATTTACCGCGTTTACAGTTTCCATCGAACTGGTAAAAGAAGGGGAATAGCAACTATGAGAATTACGTAGTTTGTACCGGTGAACCAGGGATCATCAAATATTTTCTTATCTTATAATCGATACCACAAACTGGTTTCAGTTAAAAAAACATTAAAAAAGGGAATTTCTGGACATCTGTTTCGTCCTAGTGTGGGACTTTTCGAGTGTCCATTCACGACCTCATTACTAGCTATCCATTGCTTCCTGATTTTCAGTGATCGTTTGACTAAGACCTGTCTATGATATTAACTGTGAAGTTGCCAAAGTGATCTTTATAAACCCCTGTAATATTTTTTTTATTCATCTGTCTCTGTGGTCTTGGTACTAAAATGTATCAATTACTTAGCTTATTCAAACTCAAGTTATAATAATGTTAATAGATTTTATTCATTTAATGAACATAGGTACTGGTACAACTGATCACCAAAATAAATATACTCCATACAAATGGGGAAATGAAATTTTAAGGAGACAAATTGCGTGAATGAAAATATCTGTCCTGGTCGAAACAGCTGGTGATTTTAGATAGTGCTATTAATTGAGTTGTCTTCAATGTATCCGACCACACATTTGCTACAACTCAATATCTTGAAATAGTGGATTCACTGACTTGGATATTTGTTTTGAGTAGGAAATACGTTTTGCATCACAACTATATTCTTGTATTGTATAACTATTTTTTGCTTATTTACATGATTGATAATAAACAATCACACTCTGAATGTATTTTCTTAATACCAAGGTAAGTCTAAAATGAATCTCTAGTTTTATCATAGACATGTACATATAGTTGCAAAATATTCGAGCTTTTTTAGGCTATCAGGTTTATTTTACAAAGAGTAGTTTCTCTTTATTACTAATCTTTTTCACCCATATTATTATAGATATATCACCTGCAGGGTGCTTTCCAACCAACGTTACCATGACTGCTACTCACGGTGATATTTCGCAGCTCCCATTAGATATCTCTTTGGAGTTAGAAAATTCATCTGCAATCAATAAGTCGGCTACATGCGACGATTTTGACCCTCCCCCAAGACCATCTCATCGTAGATTAACTTCTTTATCGTCTATAACAGGTGAAAAATGTCTCTTTTGGTCAAATATAGTCACCAAAACTCCAGGTAATTTTACGTTTTGTGAATGATGAAAGTTTAATTGACTTTTCCAAGATAAAGATTGTTATATTTTTTTCAGGCAGCTAGTTCAGTAAAATAAAAAAATTCTTTCGAGTTCTGAATATTAATGATTACATTTTCTTTCGTTTCGTATTCTTTTGTGTTAACATCATTCAACAGAAATCAAAGAAAATAACTGTCTCATTGTAGACTGCTGCCATAGATATCCCTTTAAAATATGATTTCATTTAATTTACTACTTATAAGTATACATGAATATTCTATGGAAAATGTTTTAATGAGCATAAAAATTTTATACACTATACAGTTTCGTTTTTTATCGTAGTGAATCATTCACTTTATTAAATGAAACAATTTGAGGAAACTTTATTACTTATTAAAGCATTAAAGTAAATGCTGAAAGTAATTCATTCTCATAATGACCTAAAAAGACCATAGTATAAGTAATAAGTTGTAGGTAGTATAAATATTACACGAATAATGTTTATTAATAACTAAACATACAACTCTAAAAGTATACATTACTTAGCTTTTTGTGCAGAAACAAAAAGGCATCTATATACCCGAAATCTAATTGGGATTATTGTTATTATTTCAATAGTTGAGATCATGAGTCAATTAAAGCTAGAACATCATGGAAAATCTGGAAGCACTGGACGACCGTTTCGTCCTATTGTGGGACTCCTCAACAGTCCGCATTATTGTTATGTAGACAGTTTCTATTTCTAAGATTTTCCTGTATATCTATCATCATTACAACATGTTATATAATGCTTTTACATTTTCATTTATGAGCTGTAATTTTTCTTTCTTTATGTATACATTTCCCTGTAACTGTAAGCATACTCCATAGATTTTCTAATTTTTTAATCCCACAGATAACATTAATATCAGTACAAATAACTCGATAGATAATGTATCAAATCCACCTATTCTACCTCCTCGTATTCATCATCATGGTGGAGAAGTAAATTCATCTCGATTATTTAAAAATAATAGTCCAATAATTCAAGATACTAATACTCCAAAAGAGGATAGTTTATGTATAAATTCTGGATTAACAGATTCATCTCATATTTTATCACATAATTTAACAAACATAAATCGTTCGTTGTCATCTCCACCACCACCTCCATTGCCTCCGAAAAAATCCACCACTCCAAATACCTAAAAAAATATGTAAATATTATTTTGTTTTGCTCTATAACAATAATTTTGTTCTTGTATAGGTTGTCATTTTTTTCATTCAATACTACTTATTACTTACTATTTTCACTTATAATAAATGTAATTAAATTACTTTCTTTCGACATCATTCAAAGATATATATATTTCTCTATATAAAAAATAAACATTTTCTTTTCTAACGAATTCTTCTCTTTTCATTACCTTTTGTATATAATACTTATGTGTATTTCTATTATATTACACTTTGTAATATCTCCGTGTATTTGTTTACTTTCCGATTTAAATTTATTGTGTTTTCTTTTTGTCTTTGATGGATTATTTCTGTAAAAAACAATCTATATATAATAACTTTCTCATCTAACCTCCTTTGTTAATATTATCCGGTATAATTAATTTCCTCCATCTCTTCATTTCCGTCTTTTTTTGCACTTCCAATTTCTATGCAATGAATGATGTACATCAATATGACAGTTATAAACTGCATGTATATCCGTCTGTGAAAGTGTTTTTATAAAGGTGGATTTACTTACTACTCTTGTTAAGATTTACACTGGTTTATGGAACCCTATATATATATATATATATATATATATATATATATATATATATATATATATATAATTATTGTAAAGTAGTTTGTTTGAATAAATGATTATTTTCGTTTTCTCTGTTGTTACTATTTGGTACAGTATACATTCTTTTAGAAGCATTCAAAAAACTTTTGAATGTAAACTTTCCTTTGTTTGTTCTTACACAGAACTGACACAATGATTTATAGTACAAATAAAGTATGTTTTACACATCTTGTAAGAATAGGATGATGTTAAGTGAGAATTATAATAAAAGCATTTTTAAACTCTTCATGAAGCATACTCATATCTCACTTAATAATTCACATAATCAACTATTCTTCGTATTCTTCATCTCATTGCATTTAAATTACATTCTGAATGTGAATTAACACAGTCACGTTTTGGTGCTAGGTCTGTAGTTAATTAAATTAATTAATTTGTCTTACTAACACCAACTGGTGATTAATAGGCTGCTCGAATCAAGTATCATTCCACAGATTTCTGTCAATTGACAGATAACTCCCATTTAAACATTAATAACACGAAGTTCAGCAACGAATTTATTATCAAACTGTACAATCGTATATATATGAAATTTTTGTCAAACTACTAGTTCCGTGAGGAAACATGAACAAGGCATAACCAAGATGATGTAATTGATAGATTATAATACTAGATTGCGCAATATAAATAATAACAATAAACTTAATAAGTTAGTAACAAATTATAACGTGAATGTAGCAAAGTGATTAAAATGTTTTTGTTACAATAACCACAGGTAATAGAGGTGCGAAATAAATGAAGTGATATTATGAACGATTGTGAATAAAATAATGAAAATATGAGATTTAAGTAAACGGAGAAATGCAGTAATAATAATAATTAAGACCAAGGTAACGATAGCGATAGGACATACTTCTTTTGTACATATAGTTCTGGCTTGAGCTCATGTACGGTAATAGCTCCGACTATTTTTAGGAGATGGATCCGAAGAAGTATGGGTAGATTTGGATGAATTGTATATACAACTTTAAAATCAAACTGTAGATCAGTAAAATGATTACAGACGATTAGATGATCAAGTATGAAACTCCAAAGTGCATCTCTCTCACCCTTGTAGAACCTCACTGAGACATGCTCCCGTATTCGAGTTGAACGCGCGCACTAGCTACAGCCAATGTACCTTGCTCCACAAGATCAGGTGGGCTGGTAGATGCGTATGAGGGTGACCAGAAGGGAAACCTTATCTTTTATGGATACAGAAAAGAAGTTCCTATTAGTGAACGTTATTCGCAGTTTTGCTGCACAGTGTGTTCTTTTTATCGCTGTCGTTAAACGACTTTTGATTACAGATGTCCGATCACCTTTAAATTCCAAACTTTTATGAGTTTTTCTTTGGAACGGAACAACCGGATTCCTTATCACAACTACTTTTCATATTCTTGGTTATTCCTTGTTCATATTTCCTCACGGAACCAGTACTACAGCAAAAACTTTTCATTGGTATACGATTGTACAGCTTGATAATAAATCCATTGAAAACAGATCCCTTCGCATTTAAATTGCCAAAATGACAATACAATTTGCGAAGTAGATAAGATGGAATGATAATATTTTTGGTAAACATAATATTTTAAAGACTTATTATACAGTAAGACAGTCTGTCATTAGTTTAGCTCAATTATGCAATTCTATTGTGACCTCTTTTCAAGTAAAATAAATCACAAATAGTGATATATTTATTTCTCATAGAACCTTAAAGTGGGAGTAAAATTCCAAATACTTCATAAGTGCATGTGTCTATCATTTGTTTATGTCTTATCATTGTAGTAAACGATCATTTCTTAACGTATATACTAGTCTGAACTGGATTGCACTCGGTGATTCAGGATTTATACACGATTGAGTTGTATAATTCTCATTTCGAATCAAAAGCCCTTTTAGATATACCTGTTTTGCTCATAGAAAGTTATCCGGTTTCATTACAACTGTTAAACGAAAGGAATTTTTGTCATCCTTATGCAAAGATAGGTTGATGGAAATTGCTATAGTTTTTTTACTTCCAGTTTATAAAACCAAATCAATGACTGGATAAAGTATTTTCAGGGTCTGTCTAACAGACTTATACCAGCTATTTCATATCTTACTTGAACTGTACGTACCGACGAATCGATTGTCGCATAATTCTTATAGGTTTTTAATCGTTGGTAATGTGATAGATTATCACTCAAAAAGACGGTTAAATCAGTGTTATTACAGCCAAATAAAAGGTATTTTGTCGGAAAGTATAAAAATTGTAGGTTCTTGTATCTAAATCCAGACTGGTATAGACGTCTACCCTGGTAAATCAATTGAGTTTAAAACAGATCGAGCAGTATATGGGTTTTACTTATTTACACTTGTTAACCCTTATGGAAGAGCATAAACCACCAGAATTCTCCATCAAACTCTGTCCTGGACAGTCCTTTTCAGTTGCTACTCGTCCTTTTCATGTTTGCTTCCGATTCCCGATTCATTATGTTCTTTAGTCTTCCTCCTCCGTTTCCATTCAGGATTACAAGTTAGCGCTTGCTTCGTGATGCAGTTTGATAATTTCCGTAATGTATGTCCCATCCACCACCGACGTCTTTTCCTAAGCTAGTTTGTTCTCTGTCATAGTAGGTTGCTGCTGATGGTATCCGGTCAACGGATATTGAGTATCTTGCGTAGATAACTGTTTCTCCAAGTTTCACTTCTGTCGCTCTTCTAAGGCTAATGTCCGTCTACAACCCGGCTAAAGGAAGAGGGTTTGGCATGAAGTCAGCAACCCCTTCCTGTAGGAGACAACCTTGCTAAAAATACGCTAACTAGTAAATGGGAAACTATAGTAAAAATATGATATAATTATAAAATTTTTTTGTTATTCCTAACTCAGGTAATACAGGTCTAAATTTACATCGAGTCATCAATTGTTGTGCTAGATAATTTATTACGGGACAAAAAATTCAGTTTCAAATATAAATAAATACTATTTAACAACTTTATTTCTTATTATACAAAGTGATTAAGAAGGCATATTCGAAAAAGGATTGTTGATTTTCATCTGGAAATTTCTAACGAAATAATCTATCGAGAATACTTATCCCAAAAGGTCCCATCATAAGTTTTGTAACTTTAACGAGGGGAGATTCTCTGAAAATAATGTTCGTTGAAAACTCATTTGAACAGTAGTCTGATTCGTTAATATGCTAGATATGTCACTAAAGTTTCTTTATATCGTAAATCTGAAAGAATACTTGGTTGGATCTCAATAAGACCTCTGGTTATATACAACTATCCATGTGTTCATGAAGTAACATTTACCTCAGGACAACAAAGAGGTCCTTCCGATCATTCGACGTAGTGTTTGCCGCAAACTACACTTAGTCTTGTGCCACCATATAAATGTTATACAAGATGTTGTCAAGGAAGTTGGCGTACTATTTTTTGATTGTTCGGTAAAACTGGGTTTCGCTTATTTGACATTCATAAATTCAAGGTGGCTGAACGAGGTTGCATTGTGACAATTAAATCAGCAGTCCAATTGTTCTTTATTAATGCGTTGATATAGATATTGTAACATCTCAAACTGTTGGTGATGACGTTTACTAACTTGGTATTGTGAGGATTCTTTGTTATTGATCGTTTTGTGAATGGTACTGGATAATAACTTGTTTCGTCCGTTTTCATTTCAGCAGTGAACATCAGGCGTTATTCAGTGTTCGAAACCCCGCAAATTGGTTTAACAACAAAAAACCGAAACCCTTAGTCAATCTTATACGTGTCGACATGTTGACTTACATAGCATCTAAAATACTAGCTTCAATTATTACCGGACGCTTAACAAAGACCCATGAACTGCAAACACAAGAAAATAAGGCTGGCTTCAGACCTGGTCGTGGATGCATAGACCACATATTCACGATTCGTGAGGTTCTAGAACACAGGCATATTTATCGGCGTCCGACAATGGTGGTCTCCCTCGACTTAAAAGCAGCATTTGACTCTGTAGATCGAGAGGTTCTGTGGAAGTGTCTGTCATTGAAAGGCGTACATAAACAAGTACATAAACCTTGTGAGGGCTCTTTACTTAAACACTGCCAGTCGGGTCAGAGCTCATGGCGAACTGTCATCTGAGTTTGCAACCTCAAGTGTTGGCCGACAAGACTATCTACTATCTCCATTTTCGTTTAATTTGGTCATAGACCTACTGCTGGAAGTAGTGTTTTGGTCGTCTGAATTTTCAGGAATTGATCTCCTACCAGGAGGTTCACTTATTGACTTAGAATATGCAGATGACGTGGTCCTGTTTGGTGAAGATTCCGATAAAATGGCGTCTTTTAGTAGCACTGAGCAACAATGCTAGGATGTTTGGGATGCGTTTCTGCCCCTCTAAATGCAAGTTGTTGCTTCAGGACTGGCCTGTGTCAACACCTAAACTAGGGATAGGGAGTAAAGTAGTCAATCGCACCGACATTTCCACTTATCTTAGAACTCTGATCAGTCATAATTGGTTGGTGTCTGACGAAATCTCTACACGGATTCAAAAAGCTCGTTTGGCTTTCGCCAACTTATGTCACCTATGACGAAAGCGATATGTTCGTCTATCAATTAAGAGACGAGCATACTGTGCAGCAGTTCGTTCTGTTCTACTTTACGACTGCGAAACGTGGTCAGTAAGAGTAGAGGATACTCGTAGGTTACTAGGATTCGATCACAGATATCTTGGGAATATTGCTCGCATCTCCAGGGATCTCCGGGTAAGTAATAGTGAGGTTAGATGCAGAATATTAGGGAATGGTGGTAAATCGGTTGATGAGGTTGTGAATCTTCATAGACTGAGATGGTTGGGCCACTCATTGCGTTTACCCAGCGACCAATTACCACGGCGTGCAATGCTGACTAGTGTAGAAGACGGATGTAAGAAAGATAGAGGCGGCCAAACCAATACATGCCATCAGTCCATAAAGTCACTAACTTCCGGTTTGAGGCATGTTGGTAGATGCAGACTACTTGGTTGGGGTCCGCGTAACTGTCGTAATTAATGGTTGGAGACTCTGGGTGACATGG